ATAGCTGTAGGAAGTACACCAGAGATACTCCTCTGTGGCCGGATGTCCTTGTTCAGCCACAAGTCTGGTGTTGTTGTCATATGTAGACATGTATTTGCACTTGGAGTGTGTTTTAAATGGGACCTTCAGAAGGAGTCTTGTGCTGATGGTACAATTAAGCATCTTGATTGTGGTGGTGTTTAATGAAGTTAATATAAGATAAAATTGCATAGACCTATGCATCCACACAAATGAGTATATATATGTATAACAGGTGAAATGTGAGTAAGCCCTGTAGTTGTATCAATGCCAATTCCCTGGGTTTTATATTGTACTACAGTTATGTATGATGTTAACACTGGGTGAGGCAGGATGAGGACTCCATGGGAATCTCGCCAAACATTTCTTTGCAATTTTCCTGTGAATCTATAATTATTTTAAAATAAAAAGTTTAAGTAGGGGGAGGAGTGAACTCAGCACTTGATCTAAAACAGTGCATCAGGGATGGCCTTAAGGTAGGAGAGCTTATGCAAGAACAGTGCCTCTTTGTCCAGGTCAAAAGATTTTCCTGAAGAGAGTGAACTGGGACTGTTAATCAGCAGGTGTAGAATAAGTATGGCATCCCGGCACACCTTCAGCTTCCTGACGCTCTGTGAGCAAACAAGTGAATTCTCAGCCCCTTTTCTTTAGCCCTGTAGGCAGAGCAGACAGACAGGCAGGCAGGCACAGTTGGAGCAGGTTGCAGGAATAGGCCTGAAGTCCAGGTCTTCCACAGGGCGATGGCTGCCTTCTCAAACCCTGGTGGTCTTATTTGGTATCACAGTGGCTTAATTCAGTCTTCCAACCATATTTGCTAAGCACCTACTTGTGTGACAGGCACTTTTCACTCTTCTAGTGTTTGGGCTACATCCAAAAACAAAACCAAGAACACTGCTCTGGCGGCGCTTATGTTCTGCCATAGAGGAAGAAGCAGAGAGGAAAAAAGTAAACAGAAATAAGTAAATTTTAGAGCATATAGAGGTGATAACTATTGTGGTATAGGGGGAAAGAAACAGGAAATGGGGACCAAGAATTCAGGAGATGATTGGTGTTGGGGAAGGAAGGGATGCCAAATTCTCCAAGTTCTTAATTGTGTGACTATTGAGATCAATCCTCCTTTGCTTGAATTTTTTTTTTCCCACTCCAAATTTCACTTCCTTATCATTGCTTTCTACTTTTTCTTGATTCCCTCAGTCTTCTCTCCATTTTTTAGCACACCCTTTTCTTGGTCTTTCTTCAGTTAATTCCTCCTTCCTTTTTTCTCTCTTCCTTAATGTCACGTTTTTCATCAGTGTGTCTTTCTCCTTTTTCTTTCTCTTTCCCCATTTGAAACTCTTTTCTTCCCCCTCCCCATTATTTTTATTTCTCTCACTCTAATTCTAGCCATTTGTCATTATGTAGCTTTTAAAATAAAATTGAATTTCATTTGATTAAAGTGCACATGACTTGTTACATTGCTGATAATATTGTTTGCATGATAAATATTGTCTATTCTTCAGGAACCCAGCCTGACACAAATGGGCAATAACCTTAACTTTTTGATTCTCATCTCATCACATGGTTCTAATCCCTAGAAAGGGGACACCCTTAAGTATTTCTGGAAGTTTCAAAGAGGATCCCACCATCTATTCATGAACAAGCCACTCTTCCCAAGACTGCTCTCCTTTATGCTATCTCATAGAGCATAATTATTAAGATGAGGTGTCTCCAGAACTGTAGCTGTGCCTGCAGAGGAGGACAGAATCCTTTCTTCTACCTTTGGTTATGTCATTCTGATCATGTCCAAACATGTTCCACATGCCCTATCCTTTTACAAGACCTTACAAAAGCAGCTCTCTTGGATTAATTTTGCATTTCTCTTTTTAAATAGGACCCAAACATGAATTCATGAATGTGGCTCCAAAACATATCCCAGAATGACAGGCACTAGAGTACTCCCCAAAACAACACAAATATCTATAAGCGGTAAGGTGGAGAAACAAGTAACTGTAAGTTCAGCTAATGGAATACTATATAGCACTGAAAATAATGAATTCTTACTATAGGCAATATCCTAGATGAATCTCACAATTGTAATGTGTGAAGGAAGACAAACAAGAAAGAGAAAAAACTCTGATTCCATTCATTAATATTCAAAATAAAATATAAGAAGTCAGCACAGCAATTCCCCCTTGGAACAATTACTAAGAGAACCATAAAAAGAATCTGGGGTGCTGGCTATGTTCTACTTGATGATCTGGGTACTAGCTATACTGGTGTGCTTGCTTTGAGGAAATTCTTTAAGTGATATATTATGCATTGAGTTCCTTTGATGATGATGTATGCAGCAGTCTGAAAATTTTGCTTCATATAATGAAAGTCATTATGCAAAATAGGTTGGAAATATTTAAGTAAAAATGACATTTGACAGATATTTGTGAATAACATTGTTTATTGTATTGTCTTTACAAAAAGAAAATGCACACAAACAAGTGGAAGTGAAAATATGAGGACGGATTGAGTAAAGTCAAACTTAAAATGCAGAATTTTGTTCAAAAAGGACACATTGGCATAGTTTGAAAAGCAACTTTAGGTGTAATAAAAACTTTGTGCAGATACTTCCGAATGTACATGATATGATTTTGTGCCTTATTGTTGAAATAAATGTATAATACTGGAATTTTATCCAAGAAGTTAGAAATAGCAAGACATCTTTAATTTCAAGTAAACTCCCCATTGACAATACAGAATAACAAGTACAATCACTACACTCACAAGATGCCGAGAAGAGACAGTATTCCTAGAATGTGTTGGGGAAAGTCAAACTGGATACTTTTATACTCACAAATTAATCCAAGATTTTACAAAACTTTATACTTATTGTAAACTATAACTTTGGTATTTTCTTCAACTAAAGAAAAAATGAACAGTGCATATTTCCTCTATTGAACAGAGATATTCATTCATTTTCTGCAAGACTATTCTATTTACTCTTTAGAACTGCATGTGGAAGAATATGGTCACATCATTACACTACAGCTCACTCAGATTAAAATATACAGCATGGGGTGGGAAGGTGATGATGCTTTTAGTCAACCAATTTGATATAATTATGGATGATGTTCCTTCAGAGGTAGATACTTTATTTCTGATTATACTTAAGAAAACAGATAAGACATGCTGCCTTTAGATAGCCAAATACATGTACAACGTAATTCTCAAGCAATCAAGAATTAGTCTTGGCTGGGGACCTGAGTATTTTTCTCTAAGAATGAAGCACAACTTCATTTACTCCAGTGTGAAATACATGGGAAGAGTCCATAGGACCAAAGCCTATATGTTATATATTAATACCTAAAAAACTGTTGGCACTGAGAAAAGATTAAGTTAAAGTAAAAAATAAAAATAATATTTCCTGGCTTAAAATATAGATTTCTTTAAAATCTACATCCAGGTGGCTCCTAACTTTCGTTGTTTAGACGACTTTTTTTCTTTCACTTTCGTGTGAAAACAGTAGACACTCAATAAGGTCCGGCCCCCAGATTTTGATGTTGACACTGCCCCAGGCTAGTGGCACAGGGGATAATACCCTCTTGGGGTGCCGGGCTGCGGCAGCAAGCTGCATCGCAGCTGGCCGTGTGCTCAAGGCGTAAACAGCGGCTACTCCACAGTGTATGATGCCGACAGCATTGTCTGGATATTGTGTTTTGTGTTTTCCCATCTCATCATGTCCACAAAATACCCATTTCCGTCTGAAATATCCAATTCTTGTTATAGAGTAGGCTTTGTTTTAGATGATTTTACCCAGTTCCAGGCTAATGTAAGCCTGCTGAGTACATTTAATGAAGGTTAATTTATACATAGATTTCAGTGTATTCTATGCAGTTTTGAGAATACTTACAACTTATGGTGGTTTATGAATTAATCAGGGCATAATTGCAATATAAATGCAGGAATAGCTGTGTTTTCAATTTTTTCTTTTGATACTGACTACAATGGAATGTATTATTTTAATAATACTTAATATAGATGTATATATAGGCAGTTCAGTTCTTAGATTTTGTTATGAAAAGTGGTCAAAATTAAAGAACAATTTACCTACTGCTAAAATTTTAGAGTAAAGGAAAGCCTTCTGTTTCAATGCTTATTTAATAAGGTTCTTTTTCTCTTCAAGAAAGACAATAAATTTGCTTTATTCACAACAATCTTATACACATATCAAAATTGGGCTTTGTTCAAAAAATAACACAATTTTATGCTAGATTTTAAATGGATGATACTTAGATTTGCAAAATGATTGTTTCTATAAAAAAAGATAAAACTGCATTTTTAAGCTAGAGAGTGTCGTATATTTTATTTGCTTTTAATTGTAATCTATGATTATCATAGAGGAAAATGCGATTTCTATAAACCAAAACAATCTTCTTACTGCTTTACTTCTCTGAGCCAGAGTTTCTAAAATATATGAGCCCAGCTCTATAGCTTTCAAGTGAATTATTTACTTGATTCTGAATTCTGGTCACATATAATAGTACATCACTATTAAATATTAACCAAATTTACATTAAAATCAATTTTTGCTAAGAGTGATTTTTGAAGGTTTCCACAGAGAAATACACTAATTATCATACTTCAGCATTTATTCAGTGCAACCTGATGCATGACTAGAGCAGCTCACAAGTATCAAGGTCAATCAGACTCACTTGCCCTCAGAGGCTGTATCCCAACCCAACAGAGATAACACTGGTACCTGCATGAACAGTATTAGCAAGTCTTTTGGGAATTATCAGGATAAAGTCAGCAGATCTTGGATAATGCTAAAGCACTATAATTCTCTTCGCCATTTTGCACATTTTAAATATGATGTTTTAAATTAAAGCTAAAAACAATCTAGTGGAGAAAGAATGAATGGATATAGTCAATGCAGAAAATATTGGCATGGAATTACATTGGTAGGGAATTCTGCCTCACAGCCCCGCTTAGAGGGTCCTCCTGAGCGGCTTTCAGGAAGCAAGTCTACGCATCGCCTGCGAAAGCAGAGGGGAAACTGTTAAGGCAACAGAACGGTCATGTCAACATTACCTTTACTACAAATGCGTTTTATAGAGCTGGTTGTTCATGTTTACTTGTCCTAGGTGTATACCATCACCAAAAACATGGGGTAAAAACTCAATTTTGGACATTATAATTTTTAAATGATTGATTGACATGAGATAACTGCTATTTATTGATCACTTGCTATTAAAAGACAGTATTCTTACATCTTTCCCTTCATTTCCACTACTCCATGGGGAATTGTTCTCTTTTACATGAAGAGACTACAATAAAGACCAAGTAAGTAGCTTGTCTTGGGTTACACAGTCAATAAGCAGCAGAATCTGGGCAGCACTCAAGTGTCTGGTTCTACAACTTCCGCCTTGAAACTACTCTGCCACCATTACCTATAGGAAGCCTCCTGAAAAAGCCTTTTTTGTGACAATCAAAAGTACTCATGTAATGTGGCAACTTCTCAAGTTCCAGTTTTGATATCTGAATAGTTCTGGCTCAGTTCAGCCAGCCCTCTAGCCAAAGTCCTAAACTACGAAAGCCGAAAGCCAAAAGCTTGCACACCCCTCTAGGACATTCCTGGCAATCAAGCCAGGGACGAAGATGCGGGACCTCTGATTTTCACTAGCAGTGTCTCCCTTCATGACAGTCTTCTCTGTCACCCTCGCTATTGCTTCTACCACAGGGGACTGAATATCACTCTTTTCAACATTTCTATCAGGACGTGGAATAGGATGAGAAGGCATGCCTATCAGATTTACATGTGACACGAGTGGGGATGGGCAGCGAGTGTTCTGGAAGAGAGACTGAGAATTCAAAGTGTCAATAATTCAAAATGTCCATAAGCCAGAACCAGCAAGAAATAATCGAGCAGAAATATGTGTACTCCTGCAGAAGGGGCCAAGCCAATTACATATTCATAAATGGGGAGCCCAATTATGCTTTAGTTTGTGAGGAAAAATGCCCAAGTCTTCAGATCACCCCTTTGCTTCAATAGAAACATAGATGTTGATGTAGCTATTATGAAAATAAGCACATTTTAAAATCATTGTAATAGAAATATTTGTAGATTAAGCTAGCTCATATTTGCATAATCTCCAATGCTGGCTTGATGCATGGGGTTGTGTGTCCCCCTCTTGGCCAGGAAACATCGGCAAAATGTCGTGTCTGTGAGGAATGTTAAAGGAAATTGGAAGACTCTCACTGGAGTAGAGTCTGGGGGACATGTGAAAGCTACTCTCAATTATTTAAGGGCTATTCAGTGGGGATATGTGTGGTGTCTAGTTCACTGGGTGGTTATGATAGAAAGCACAACAAATTTTGTTGTAAGCACAACAAATGTTTTCAAACTTCTAACCCTGTAACAAATTCTCTGGAAAAGCTATTAGTTGACAATGTCTGGAAATGGTCACACAAAAATTGAATGAGCATCATCAGAGATGGTGTGGGAAAGATTTCTGCACAGTCTCAGATGTGGGACCTACTTGACATCTAAGACAAGTTTCAACTTTAGAATCCTATCATTGTCCTTTTTGGTCACATTTTCCTTTGTGGTTGAAATACAATATTCATTCAACTACTACAAGCTTCAGTCAAGTTTTCTAGGAACAGTCTGATGTCCCAAGAACATCAAAAATGCATGGTATCAGTCTTGAATGGAGGGAGTGTCTTTTCAAGCCTCAACAGTCAGGCAAGGAAAGGTGAGGAGTTTAGCTTATGAAATCCTGGGTTAGAAATTCCCTCTATCACTTTCCCCCTATCTCACTGCTTTTAGCCTCTGGCAGAGGCTTATGTAAAAACCAGCACCTATGCTGATGGCTATTTCCAATCACCCTTCATATCTATAGACCTGAGGCAAAAGGTCCCCAAGTGCTTGTCTTCTAGGAAGAATTCTGGTTTTGGATTTTACCTTTTCTGTGAAACTATCCCTGTATTACTTTTAAGATATTTTTCCTGGGTACTTTTAACCAAACATGGTCACAATCTTTATTATCCTTTTTATTCCAGATTTAATCCAAATTTTTCCTTGAAAAGAAAGAATGATCATACCTCATCCTGGACATCAAGTTCTTCTTCAATCAGCTCTGTTTCCATTAACTCAAGAGGATCTTTACAATCTTGCATAAGGGTGATCTTGATAAAGAGAACACAGAGAATATTTATTGGAAATATAATAGCATCAATAGATACTCCACTGAAATTGATTTGAGTCTTTGCTGGTACTTCTGCCCTACAATCTACATACTTCAAAACTCTTTTTAACTTCCTTGTTCTTATATATTTCCACTTTAGAATTTTCTCTATGCTTTTTTTTTTTTTTTCACATTCAAGTGTGAACTAGCCTTTTCAGGTGGGCCTCTTAACTAGTCACTCCATCTAAAGTGTTTTTATTTCAGTGGCTAAGCACTCAGTACAGCATTGAGCATGCAGTGAATGCCTTGTGACTGATGACAATAAACAATCCCAAATTGAACTCCATAGAAATTAATTTCGCTGGAAATACCAATTGCCTATTGATGTCATAGCCACACTTCCTGAGCACCACAGGAACAATAACAAGTTATGATGACCCAGCTCCTCTTCCAGTCTTGAATTCCGATGCCAGTGGAATGGAGAAGTGCTCTTTGGAGAATAACATAACTATGATGCTCACAAGAAAATGAAGTCACCTAAAGATGAATTTCTCAGAACGGATCGCTATTGTTACGTGACACAGGCTATAAAGTTCTTGGCACTGGTATGGGGGATACACAGGAGCACAGGTTTCCTGACCTGATAGGCCACCAGTAGTAAACAGCTAGCCAGTGAATCAGTAAGTGTATATCACAAACACTTTGTTATCCTCCATCTAATCTTGGGTCATGATCAAAAAATTCATCCCAGTCACTCAAGATGCCTCACTGATTGTAAACAAGCTTAAGGCTAACCCTGGAGGGCCATCTTGGGTTAGTGTTTGGTGTGACATCATAGACAGAGATCTTGGATCAGAACAGGGGTTAAAAAAAAAATAACTATTTTCATGCTGGGAAAGAATTTGACACCTTAGTTTTCCTTTACTTTTTTTTTTTAGTGCTCCTTTACTTTTAATGCAGGAGCAGTTTTAGAAACTTTGTATGATCCTGCTTTGTTGTTATACCAGTGGGTTAGAGGAATAAAATCAAAGATTTATGAGATTTTAAAGATGAGCCTCTTGCATATAATTTTTTTTTTCTGAGCTCTGTGGTTCTATTACTTTTTCCTCTTTTGTATTTAAGATTCATACACTGTAATTAGGTCTAGTATTTTCCCCAGCAGCATGAAGCAGAACAATCTGTGCTAACACTAGCTAAAATGAATAATGTACTATTGTTTTCTAATTTAGCTTTATTTTAAACATTAACTTTCAACCTACAACAAGAAGCTACACATCCTAGTCTTAAAAAAAAGAAAAGTAATTTCAAATACAGTAGGCTCTTTCACTGGAACAATTATTATCAGTGCTATTTTTTTTTTTTTTTACAAGCATTTGTTTTAGTTTCCTAAATTCACTGTGAGAAGCTGCACGGAGGAGAGGTTCTTGTGTCAGACCCACAGTGTGCCCCATCTGATGACCTAGACTGCTCAACTCATCCTTGTATTTGACAGGAGAACTGTTAAAATGAGGCCCAAGGGAAAATGAGGGTCTATTTTATCTTTCAGGGAATAATTAACTTTGGGCTTATTCATGACTTAAGACTTTTCCCCTCTTTTTTAAATATCACTTTTGACCTAGTGGATCCTATATATGACATTAAAAGTTTCCAGACCGCTGAGAACTTAAATAACATTTGTATAGACAATTCACAAATGAAACAAGATTTAGTGCCTATATTCACTTAAAAGATACTACAATTAATGCCAGCTTTTATTAGTAAACCACACATTGTAGAATTAAAAGATACCAGGTACTATCAAGTGCAAAACTATTGATAGTTTAGGAGAAATACTTGCATAAAAAAGTTCAATGTTTACCGTGTCTAAAATGGAATCCTGCACCTCTCGGGACTTAATCCGGTTCTGTAGGTGGAGGACAGCATCGTGGACGGTCAGAAAGAATATGTCCATCCTAATGTTATCGCTAAAGAAACCACACTTCTCCAACTTTTCTATCACAGAATCTTCAAGAGAAAAAGATACTTTTTAATTTATCTGTAGGAGAATATATTTTGTAACATCAACCAATATTAAGTCTCTGTAGCTCTTCCTTTTATAATAGTCTTGTTCATCTAACCCTGCCCTGAGGAGACTGAGCTGCTTTTCTAGTAGTGCAGCTTGTACCATAACTATTTGTAGTAGCAAACAGGGGACTTATCTCTCATCTATTTTCTTTTTCAGGGGACCCACACCAGCTGCCCAAGTTATTAATGGGTCACAGCTATGCTTGTCTGTGAGGGAATTCTCCTTAGCTAAGCATCACACCCCTAACTGTGAACAGTTTGCAGCCACTGACTGACTGATGTGGGGTAAAAAGGCAGCCTCAAGGAAGATTAGTTATCTGGTCATTTTCCTGCTGTGTGCTTCCTGTGAAATCAGGTTAATGTAGACTTCTGAAACCACATCTTCATCAGCTTCTTCCCCTGCCTTGTCCCACACCTCTCACCGTCTCAATAAATCACTCTGCAAGAATCCTTACTTCAAACTCTGCTTCTGGAGATCTCCGCATCAACATTAGTATTTCCCTACACGTACTCACACACACACACACAAAGACACGAACTCACACCCTGGAAGACATCTAGTTCCAAAGGATCCCAGTCATCTCCAGCTCTGCTTTCCCCATGCTAATTTCTCCCATCGATCCTGACTCATTGTCAGGACTTGGTTTCCATGAAGTACCAGCTACATGGCACAGACTGGAAGTAATATCTTTCTAGGTTCAAAGGAGCTCTCAGGGTGACTGTTTAATGAGTAGAATGGTACTGAAAAATTTTGGAAGTAGATAGTTGTGATGAGTGCCACACTACTTTGTCAATGTACCTAATGTTACCGAATTGAATATTGGAACGACTACTATGATAGATTTTATATCATGTATCTTTTACCATCTTACAAAAAATAGTAGTAAAAAAAAAAGGTGTTTGGACACCATCTACCCACATTATAAGGTTGGAGAAAGGGTCTGGGGAAAGTTAAAGAGATGTGTATTATATAGATTTACCTTGAAGAGAAGCAAAATACACATTTACATCAATTCTTTGGAATTCCTTGACAATCTAAAAATTTCAAAAGAATTCATCATGAGTAAATTTATTTGTTCATAATTCAGAAGCATCAGTTATTTGTTCAGGAGAAACTTCAACACCTTCAATTCTGATGATTTTGAGAAAAGTTTCTTATTGGGAAAGTCCATTATTGGAAACCATAGAAGTTTTCAGGCCACAGTTAAAACATAGTAAGGGATGAGGTATCTCAGGAAGTGGCAAAACCCAGTCCTCAGTAGCACAGCAGTCTGTAGCACAGAGGTGCTCAAAAATATTTGTGGAAGGAAGGTAAGAAAGGAGCCTAGGCAATATAACATAGTCTATGTTTGTTGGAGTAGAAGAGACATGGATGTGAATGCATGGCCACCAGGTGCCAAATGAAAAACTAACCATTATTACTTGCTTTCATTTTCCATTTCTTATATATTCTCAGAAAAACAAAACATAATACATGTCAATATGTGCTGAGGGGTGACTATGTGCCAGACACTCTTCTAAACCAGATGATGATAATGGAGATAGATAAAGCTATTGCTAGCTAATTTAATCCTCAAAAACAACAAGAAGTAGATATCATCATTCTCTCCATATTATCATTATAGATGAAGAACTGGAGGTACAGACAGAGTAAGCATCTTGCCCCCTTATACTGTCACTAGTGGTAATATGCAGATAGTTTGTCTCCAAAGCCTTTACTTTAAAAGTACTGCACTCTACTGCAAGGACATTCTCCAAGAAAACACAAAACTCCCAGGCAATCACTTTCTTTCAAGTCTCTGATAACCCATATAATTTTACTACTGTCAAAAGTCCAGATCTGTTACTCAAAATACCAAGACATTACCGCTCGCAGGGATCTCACACCAACCACATCCAAGAAAGATACAGCTCCACAATCAATCACGAGGCTGTGGATTGGCACTTTCGGAACATTCACTTTGACTGGAAGCTCAGAGTTCCAATCCACTTGAATCTCTATTTCCTTGGTTGGTATATCAAATTCTTCAGGGTCTTCAATGTCTTCATCAGGCTCAAAAGCATTATTTGATGAACCAATATCACTGATAATACCATTCTAAACAGAAGACACACGGCCAATTATTTCAATGATTTGGGATGTATTTTGCCAGTATATGACAAACCCACAGCTAGCATCATTCTCAATGATGAAAAACTGTACGCTTTCCCACCAAGACCTAGTGAAGACAAGAAAGTCACTTTCACCACTACTATTCAACATAGTATTGCAAATCCTACCAGACCAATTAGAAGATATAAAAGGAATTGAAATTTAAAAAGAAGAAGCAAAGCTATCATTATTTCCAGAGGACATGATAATCTATATAAATAACTTTAAAGTTCTACACATTCTTCCTTGATAAGCAAAACATCAATGAGAGGAGTGCTTAAGGAATGAAGTTAATTGACCTCAGTCTAAACATTGCTATTCTCTGGGAAGAAAAATGGAAGCGCAGAGGAACCAGGAATTCTTGATTTCTGGAAGATTATGAAATTTAGCCAAAAGATACATTGGCAGGGCAAACTAAATAAAAGTTAGAGCTCTAAAAGTTTATGAGCTTACTGCCGTCTGTTGTAAGTAACTTTCTGGCATTGAATTAGTACTTGTTTTGTTCCTTTCACTGAAAAGAAGGTTTATATCATGATGGAAAAAAATCACACCCTGTGTTTCCAGGGAGCTCTGCTGATTTCATTTCATCCCCTCCCATTGCCACTTGCCTACAAAAACAACTCAGCTGTTCTCCAACATACATATGGCATCTGATTATACACATCTGGGTACCAAGTGGGTAGATTTAATTTTAGACTAACTGCTTTCATTCTTATCTGAAGTAGGATTTATGGGGGGGGGGGGAAGATGTTGCTTTACCTTTGTGGCTCTCAATTTCCCTTTCTTGATGAGTTTCTGTATTTTTCTCAGTGCTTTCAGCCTCTTATTATACACTCTAATGGCATCAAATCCAACCTTTGAAAATAAATGTCAAGTTACTTAAAACATCTGGTTCTTACTACTCTTTAATGGCAATTGTTATCTGGAAAGGTTATTTCTCAAATGGGATTATTTCTTGAGCTAGCCTGCCAAAAAAGAAAATCTGAGGTCTGACAGAAGTCTTCACTCTTAGGTCACTTCCCTGGCCACCCAGGGACTCATGAAAGACAATAATATCTCAAAGGCTCTAAGACAGCATAAAACAGAACAACAAAATATAATAACAACCTCTTCAGCTTTAAATCTGTATTTTCCAAATTCACTGACATCACAGAGCCCTTTTGTTACTGTAAAATCTATAAACATTCCTCTGAACCAGTTTGTCCTGGAGCTCACTTAGGAAATATCTGATCTCAAGCAAACCCCAATTTTGAAGCATAGTATGAAATACAGGACCAGAATTCCCTGCTTGCATTTTCCACTAAAACCCTTTACCCTTTACTCCGATGGACACCCCTGTCACCTAAGATGTGTGGCCGCACATTTTCTTCTCAGTTCAACTAGTTCTCAAACATCTGAAGTCTCCTTCCTTCTTCCCAACTGTAATCCAAAGCATAATTCAATCAACTACTGCCCTTCCGTGAAGTCTTGCCACTTAATGTCAATACTACCCATGCACGACTCACATTTTGTCTGGAAATGTCACTAGTGTTTCTCTCTGGCATAGTTATTGCTACCTGGATTTTAATGTTTCTGTTACTTTATATTTTTCTTGTCCCCAAAGAGCTGGTAAGGTATTTGAAGGCAAGGGTGCTATTATTCTGAACACCTACCACAGGAGAATAGGCTATGGCACCCTCTGCCCAGTTTGAGCCCAATAAACACCTGTGGAATGAATGAAATCTCAAAAATTATAGAGATCAATACTTACTGTAGACTTGATACATTTTTTAAAGCCATCGACATTGCCATAAAATATAGGACTAGAAAATCTAAGAATCTTCACTCCTTCAGGTTCTGCAATCTAGCAATAAAAAAAAAAAATCTGTGAGGTTGAACAACTTCAGGCCTCAAAGAGTCAATTAAATTTCTAGCAATTCAATGAAAACTCAGTCATAGAGGGGCTGAGCAGCAGCCTTCAACTCTCCTTGATGGGAGGTCAAGAGGCAGGTCACTAAGATCTCTGAACCTGTGACATCCAGTTCAAGGTGTACGAGGAAGTGCCTTGGGAAGCAATTATTGAACCTTTCAATTTGCAGAAACTGAGACTCAGGATTGTGACATGATTTGCCTTGAGTTCAAACCAATGTTCATATCCTACTTTTCTTGCTGACTTTTTTAAACAGGAGAAAATGAAAGGGAGTTGCAGGAAGTGGGGCTTGTGCTGCTACTTGCTTGCTCTCACTCAAACACACAGTGGGCAGACCAGTGGAGAACCACAGAACCAGAGAACAACAGGCTTCCATTGTTTTCAAGGATTCATGTTAATCTTAGCCCAGTTTTTTCAGATGAGAATATTGAAGCCGAGTAACTTATGCATAGTCTTCCCAAACTGGAGCCTAGAATTCAGAACTCCCAAATATAGCTTAGGTTTCTCTGCTGCAGAGTCAAAAGATGTTCTAGAATCATTTTTAGTTCTTGACAGTGCTTGGTTCAACACAATGAGAATTATTGAAGAAGTAAATTAAATAGTGATTACTGGAGTTCTAGGTTCAGTTACCACCATTTTTTTTTCACATTAAAGTAAAACCAGGAGTCACATTAATAGAAATATTTTTTGCCATTAACTTTTTTTTCTAAGTTAGTGTTATTAGCTTAATTTTCCTTCTTAGCTTTTTCATCTCTTTTCCTCTGGTGCTAATAAGCAATTTTATTTGTAGGCAATACAAACCTATCAGTGGCATATTTATTTTCTTGGTTGATTTCCTATATTATATGTTATTCCTTCCAATTCAGATAGAACAAAATGTCAAACTAGTTCCTTGGTGGTAAGAAACCATGAAAGTCTCATGTTAGAACTGAATGTAGAAAATCTAAGGATTCTGGTTTCATGGGGGTAAGAATTATATAGCAGAGAAATATATTTTTTTGCTCTTACTATTTACAATACTTTTAAGCTTTGCTTTTAGCTTGGATCTTTATGTGCACACAAATTGGGCTCTGTGGGCATTTTGGATTTGTACATAATGTTTTTCAACAAGTTTGGGAAAATTTTGGTATTTATCCAAATACTGTCTGTCATTTTTTCTCTTAGGACTCTCATTACATGTGTTGATGTACTTTATTTTGTTCTAGATGTCTCTGAGGCTCTTAACATGGAGATACAGTTGACATCTAACTATTATTCCAGTGTACAACATAGAAATGATTCAAATGGTATTTGTTTATATTATGAAGTGATAACCACAGACATCTAGACAATGTCTGTCACAATACGTAGTTATAAACTTTTTTCCTGTGATGAGATCTAGTACTCTTAGCAACTTCTATAGTGTACAAAACAGTATTGTTGCTTATAAATGCCATGCTATACATGCAGACCCAGATTTAGTCATTGTATAACTTTAGCTTTTGACCCCTTTACCCAGAGGATTAAAATTTTTTTTTTAAAGATTTTATTTATTTATTCATACAGAACTGGGGTACAGGCCAGAGGCTCAGGGGCGGCGAGAGGCTTCACCAGAGACAGAGTGGGGAGCAGAACAGACAGATCAACGAAGTACACTGCTGAGGGGAGCAGCGGGCGGGTCAGGAGAGGTCTGCCATGCCATGTGGTCACCTCCGGGGCAGGCGGGAATTGAACTCATGTGGAAGTGGCTTTAGCTTCGCAGGGATGTGCTTTAACCCGCTGCGCCACCAGGGAGGGCCGGATTAAAATTTTTAATAGACTTCAGATCTAGTCAAATTACCTATTTAGAATTTTTTCTCTTACAATGGTTTTACATTAAAATGCAATTAAACTAACATAGATAGAATTCATATAAGCCCTGGGTATCAAAGAGCACATCAGGTCATAACTATTCATGACTCATCCAGTGGCATATAAACTTTCCAGACAAAAGTCCCCCTTTGACTACCTTGTACATAGTAGGCTAAAAGAGAAATGTTCAGCCCCTCAAAATTCAGGCTAGCAAACCCAAGTTTAGCAAGTGATTCCCAAAGGCACTTACATTTTTGTAGTTCTTGGTACTTTTATAAATGTCTGTGCTAGGGATGCTTCCAAGGCTACTCCATGAGGGACTGAAAGAGGAGAAATCAAGATCAGAATTTTATGGATCAGGCATGCTTTGGAATAGAAAGTGTGACTAACAGATAATACAGAGCTCATCATTCTGATGAGTGGACTCCATCTTTATTGCAGATGACATTTTCCTGTAGCTAACTATGAAACAAACAGCTGTTGTTTGTGTGGAATTGAGAAGGGAGTACTGTGACTCTTTTCTGATGACTGAGAAATCATGAGCATCATACTTTCATGTGTATGTAGGATAAACAATGAATGACCACACATACTAATCTTCAGCATAACCCTGGAGGGTCAGCAGGATTATCCTCATTTGGTAGAGGCAGGGACAAACAGAGGTTCAGAGAATGAAGAATGTTCTGGAAGCAAGAGGCAGCAAGATGACTTTATTTAACCCATGGGTCTTCAATGCCTGGCATGTACTAGTGAGTGACAACTACTTTCTGAAGAAGTAGAGTGCTGTTCTCTAATTAGTCTCATTGATAGAAATAGGAACCTAGGGAGGAGAGGGCCAGAAATGAGTCCTTCCCATTAACTACAATGTTGATTTCCCATTCCTGATGCCATCAAATAAATTGCTTGATTCTTCAAGTGTGACTAGGGACACACTACATACAATTCCTGAAGAAAGAGTATCTGTTTGGGGTATTCTCAGCAATGTGCTCTTGGACCAGCCTATAATTACTGGAAATTAAATGCTTGGAGGATAACTGCTTTTCATTGGCTAACAGCCTATTTATGAAGCCAGTGGCAAAAATGTGCCACTGATTTCTCCTTGGCTGACTTTACCGTGCTGATTTTTTAAACTAAAAGCTCCTAAGCTCTATAGTGCCTGCAAAGTCCTTGTTCTCACCACAACCACACAAGGAAAAATAGATACGGAGGCCACAGAACACTCCAAAGTAGCATCTTTCGAGGACACTTTTTGAGTTGTTTCCCAGCAGCAGATTGGGCACTTTGGAAGCTTTGAACTCTTTCAGGCCCTTGAGCAACCATTTATGGCCCCTGAGGCAGTAAACACCTTTTGTGTAGGTTCCAACATGCCAGAGTAGAGATGGAGAAAAGAAATTGTTGCTAAAACAGGAAAGGTGTGTTCATGCCAAGTTGAGAATGTTAACGTTTTTCCAAATTTCTTGTTCCTTCATAGCCAAAGCAGACAGAGAAGGGATCAGAAGTCTAGAAAGTTAAATATTCTGAGGAGGGAGGTCTCCATTCCTGTCTAGGTGCACAAGAGCACTACCTGAAGTTTCTTGAGTCAAAATAAAACCAACTAAAGAAACGTACACTTTCAGGCTTGCTCACAGATTGTTTTTCATTACTTCAAACTATCTTATTGGGCACTTGTCTTATTTGTCAGATTTGAATGAGCTTTGGTCACATCAACCGTTTTATAAAATCTCCCGCTCTTTACATAACTTCTGGATCACTAGCAGCTAAGGAAAATGACCAGTAATATATTTGGCAACTGTGCCTCACTTATTCCATTTCATTTATAGAAGAAGCTAAAAGTAAGCTTAATCTACGCTAATCATTTACTTTTAGTCTTATTATGACTAGGAGGAAAACACAGCAGGAGAACAGGTGACTGAATGCATAGATTTGAGGGTGAGCTACACCCGGTGCAAATTCAAACCTGCCACTTACTAGCTTTGTTACCTTGGGGAAGGTTCTTAACCTTTCTGAGCTTCAATTTTCTTACCTGTATAATGAGAATAATAAAACCTATTCACAGGACTGTTTTGAAGATTAAATATAATAATGTGTGTAAAAGAAAACTTGCTTAATTATAGGTGCCCTCAGCATTTTAGTAACTATTCTGAAAGGGAATGGTTTCACTGTATTTATCAAAAATAGTATAAGAAATCCTAAGGTTTACCATCCTGTTTACAAGAAACCCATGGCATAAATTACTTACAACTGAACTCTCAGGACAACAGTCAGCAATCCAAATACAAGGCCAGCCAGTAAACCCAGGTCCAGCCCCAGAATGATGGATGCTATGCATGTAAACACCCAGATAACCTAGGGAAAAATAGAAATGGAAAAGGCATATTAATTCATCAGGTACTATCAGGTGAAAGGGTAGCTATGAAAAATAATTAGATCAATTATCCACAAAAAATTCATAGTTTTTTAAAAATATGGACTTTGTTTTATATTTTAGTGGAAGTGTAAATTGGATGTCCTAGTAAATATCAACTGCCCTATTTAAATAGAATTATGTTAACTTTTAGTATGTAATATAAAAATATAGCTCAAAAGTGACTACTACTAATATTAAGGTATACAGTAAAAAATCTTGTCTGTAGCCCTCTATGTCTCCACTCATTTTTAACTCACAAATTCTTTTATTTCTGTGTGTGTGCACGCACATCTCTCTTGTCAATTTTTGTGTGTGTGTAAACACAAGTCAATATGGCTACACGGTCCTACTTTATTTTAGTGTATTATACATACTGTTCTCATTGGTCTCTTTTTCACTTAATTTGTCTTAGAGATGGGTCCATACCAATATGTAAAGTTTTCTCATTCTTTTTATCTGCCCAGATTTAAACCATTGCAGAACAAAAATGGATTTAGCTTCTAATGTTTAAAATCTCCCTAAAACAGTTGTGAAGGTTACTTAGGTCAGAATTTTATAATCAGCATGGGATTTTATATTTGTGATTTTATGTTTGTTTTGTTGTCTCTTTCATTTGTCCTTTGAAAATGGGGTTTTCAGAATTGGTTTACTTTGGTTTGGGAATCCAGAAGTCCAACGGTCCAAGAATGAGTTGTATGAGATGTTGTTGGGAACGGATGTCCCAGAAAAATAGCACTTTTTCAAAACACAGTTCATCTTAACTTCACAGTTTTGGCTTAGCCACATAATTCTAATGTCTGTTCTACAGTTTTTAAAGTACAAGTAAAACTTAGGCAATGAGGGGATATAGTGATGTGGTTGGAATCACAAGAGAACCACAAGTAGTATCAGAGAAAGAAGAGCGGTACGTGACTTACAGCATCAATCTTGTTCTGCCTCCACAGACGAGGAATGTCACACACCTGCATAAACATCCCTTTCAGGTTGGCAATTACAACAGCTGCCAAGACCGACTGCCAAGAGAAAAAGGTAAGGCTGTGTTATTCAAGGGAATGGTATTCCATGTGATGACTTTTATATCTCCTGTTATTTCTTGGGTGGCAGAGCAGTGGTGAGAAATTATGCAATCAAAGTGCCAAGAAGCAGGGTTATACCTTCTGTAAAGGTTCGAGCAGCTTCCCCAGGGCAACAATGGCGATCAGCACAATCCCAGCTGAGATGATGCCGGCAACCTGAAAGACACGCGTCCAGGGAGCTGAGCCCACCTCCTGTGCCCAGGTTGCTGAGTGCGTGGTGCGCTTGATGCCTCCCAACCTCCCCCTTATGCTCAGTACTGTTGAAAGAACTGAAAATAACTTGCTAAGACACTATAAAACTGAAGAAAATGGAAAACATATATACCATATCTATGGCCAGAAAATTAAAGAAGATGTGGTGCCTGAGTTTGCTAAAGGTAAGTCAGTGTAACCTGGATTTCCTATGAACCTATAGTTTGGCTGTCAATTCAGGAGGACAAAGGAATACTAGGAGTCGTGGACTATCTCTCCTTCCCCAACACCAGATGACAGTAAGGGTCCCGAGAAATGAAATTTCATGTCACTTTTCTCATTCTTCTGTATTACTGATTCATAAGTGATAACAGAAATTCTGGTAACAATTTGAACTTGTAGGGCAGGGGGCCCACCAAAGTCTCAGCAAAAATAAATGTACCAGTCCTGTTGCAAATTCAAAATATGCATGAAGCTATCAAGAGGCGTGTCCCATCTCCTGGTCCTGCTGGGCCCCACAGAGACAGGCTCCAAGTGTTGCCTGCCAGTAGCCTGGGTGATGGCAAAGCACACAGCAGGGGTAGAGGATCTTCAGAAACTTTACCTTAGCTGGCAAGAAAGTTCTGCTAAGATCCAAAAGAGTTAGGAGAGAGGCTGAGGGGGTGGGACTATTCTCTGGTTTGCGTAGATGACCAGTGAATTCTCTGTTGAGACAGCTGGGGCATGGCCAAGGTGAAGACTAGAAACTCTGAAACAAAGAAGAAAAGGAGACAGGGAAGCAGAAGCAAATCAGAGATGCAATCAGGGTGGAAGCAACAGGGAAGATTGCATTGGGCACAAGGACTGCCTGGTGCAAGAGGTTTGAGTTCAGGCGACAGAAAAAGTCAATACAAAAGAAAATTTGCAAGCGTAAGGAAATTTCATAGTCACACTCCTTCACTCCACTAAGCAAATTGATCATTCACATCCTGATTAAATTTAGGTCAGCCAGAGGCAATATTATTATACAACTTAAGAAAAAGCTTGCTTTCTACATTGAGCCCTTTTTCTTGTTTCTTTCTGGAACCACATCTCCAGGTTCCCATTTCTTTCGGGAGCTTTTCTCTCCTCCCAGAGACAAGCTAATATGCCTTCTCCCTCCCATCTCCCCTTCCTTTCTTCCATGCAATTTCTCAACAAGCATTCACAGCCGATCCTGAGCCACTTGCACTCTCTGTGGATAAAGCCTACTGTTAATTGGTAAGAGATGTGGAAATTGGGGGACAAAGACATGGATATGTAAACATGGATATGTAATAATTAGCCTCCAATTATAGAAATCAAGTCTTATTTTAGTTGCTATATTAAAATTTGCAAGGATCCCCTGCTGTGCTTACTTTGTAAGGTTAGTTAGTGGGCCATGCTATAGCTTTTATAATCTATGAGAACACTCAAGCGCTAGAAAATTAATTCTTCTTTTAAGTGAAAGAGTAGTCACTGTCAGAGATAGTTGTAATCAGAATTACTTTTTCATGAGTCAGTAGGAGTCAGACAAAGGGGTAAGAGAAAAAACAGGTTGTACTGTTGATCTTTCCTACAATCTGTTAATGTGCTGAAAACAGATAATTCCAGTGCCACTCATTGTTTATCCTTTCAGCACGTACATGCTGGATGCTTCTCGTGTGTCAGGTACAATCTATATGTCATGAGCACTAAGCACGGCTCCACCTTGAGAAGTGAGTGCGTGGAACAACAAGCATTTACAAGTATGTGCTAGGACTTCACAAATATCTTATTTAATCCTCTCAATACTCCTCCCTACAAGGTGATGTAAGTTCCATTTTATAGATACTGAAACTGAGGCTCCCACATAAGAAAAAACATAAGAAGCCAAGAGAGGACCTATTAGTTTATTTGGTCATGAGTCCTTGGATTTCAGGCCAGGCACTTAGACTTTCAACCCTAGAACTTAGTATTCATTTCAGTAATTAAATATCAAGCCATTTCTGTGCTTGTTTTATTCTTCAGTACTGAAGTCCTGGCATCCTTCATTCCTAAATATAATACACGCCTCTGTGTGGCAAGAGATATCAGCTTACCAGAGCACCATTATCCCCAAACTCTCTGCCAAGGCATCACTTACATGGGCATTCTTATTGGGACAGCCAGACTTATTTGAGCCTGGAGCAAAAAGCAGGGAGGTGGGCATCAGCACTGGGGATCTGCCTGCACCAACTTATGGCCCTGTGCCTTGGAGAGCTTGTCAATGCCCCATCACAGGCAACAATACTCCGGTCTCCCACAGCTGCCCCCTTGAACACAGGTGCAGCTTCGGAAATCACCCTTGACCTCTTCCCCTGGGTCCACAACTCTGGTTATATCTCCTGGTGTGTGGTATATTGCTATATTGTCTTATCTGCTTCCTCAGAGCTAAAAGTGTTGGGTTGGGAGGAGTAGGAAGTAAACTCAATTATAAAAAGAAAAATTCTGAACGTTAAATTTTTTTATGACTGTAAATCAGAGATACTGCAGGGGAGTGGGAGAGAGAGGGGTCAAAAATAAGGAGAGGGCCCTCCCTGGTGGCACAGCGGGTTAAAGCACAGCATTGAGAAGCTAAAGCCACTTCCACATGAGTTCGATTCCCGCCTGCCGCCTGCCCTGGAGGTGACCACATGGTGTGGCAGACCTCTCCTGGCCCGCACGCTGCTCCCCTCAGCAGTGTACTTCGTAGATCTGCCTGTTCTGCTCCCCACTCTCTCTGGTGAAGCCTCTCGCCACCCCTGAGCCTCTGGCCTGTACCCCAGTTCTGTATGTACAAATAAATAAATCTTTAAAAAAAAAAAAATAAGGAGAAAAGAACACAAGAGACTATGGGGTTGGTACCCAGGTGACCTGGTGATGGGAATTTTGCAGAGACTACATCTTACAGGAGAAAGCATACATTGTACAAAAAGAAAGAATGATGTCAAATACATATAAAATTATAAAAATAAATAAAGCTGGCCCTCCCTGGTGGCACAGCGGGTTAAAGCACAGCATTGAGAAGCTAAAGCCACTTCCACATGAGTTCGATTCCCGCCTGCCGCCTGCCCTGGAGGTGACCACATGGCGGGGCAGACCTCTCCTGGCCCGCACGCTGCTCCCCTCAGCAGTGTACTTTGTAGATCTGCCTGTTCTGCTCCCCACTCTCTCTGGTGAAGCCTCTCGCCACCCCTGAGCCTCTGGCCTTTACCCCAGTTCTGAATGCACAAATAAATCTTTAAAAATAAATAAATAAATAAATAAATGAATAAATAAAGCAGAGGAACCCAACCAAAAAAATTTTTTTGTTCAACAATAGCCGAGAAATTGGAAGATAACCTATTCTTACATCTGCCATAAACATCCATTATAATAGGAATAGAGGATCATAGACAAGCCCCCTTTGCTGCTTTTGGTTTTCTCAGTTACTCTCTTACACTTATTTGTATCTCTGCCTCAATAAAACTCGACTTGAAGAGTGTGTGTATATTGTGGCATGGGCCATATGTATGGTGTGTGTGTGTACATGATATACATGTGTGGGGGGGCAGTGTGTGTGTTAAGATATTTTGTTCTTCTTTATAGTCTCAGTGCCCTCTTCCTCTTCAATAATTGCTCTCTATCTCAAAAGGAGAAAACCCTCCAGGCATAACAGAACACAGTTCCCGAGCCCGCCCTTCCCCCATGCACTGGGTGTGCATATCTGACTCTGTGTCCGACTGGAATGCATGGCCTCAGAAAATGGCTCCCGAATTCCTTGAAGGAAGGCTTATCCAAAGATTAACTGGACTCGTGGTTTCTTGGTAGTTATAAAGGCAACAACTTAAAACCACATTCAAAAGAAAAGATTAAACCCACACTGAGACTTCAGGAACAAAAGTTTTACATTGGAAGACATGCCAAAATATCACAATAAAAATTTTCTTGGCTAGCAAACTGTTGTTCTGTTGGGACCAGAGGAATGGAATAAACAGATGTTCTTCATCTTACAAAGGACATGAAATAGGTGCTCTTCATCCTGAAAATATAATAACTCACTAAGCTATGGCGTACAGTTATGAGACCTTCTCTATGCCTTGATAAATTGATAAAAATCAATATTCTTCATTACTGATTATTTGACAATCTCTGTTGTTCTTGGAAAAAGTAGATAAGTTTAATTTCTGCATCTTAGCTATCCTGAGTTAACTTTGAGCACTGAACCAAAGAGACCTGAGATGGTTTGCTGCATCAGAAAACCATCAATATTGCTTAAGAGGTTTTCAGTGAGGGGTGGAGCAAGGAAAACAATGGAGGTAGCTGGAATCAGATCAAGAAGAAAAAGTCTCTCCTTTATCAAAGCACAATTGTCCTGCTCCATACTTGGGCAAGGTTTGTGTGCCACCATCCATCTGATTAGTTTCCACAACAGAAGGATATGTCATAGTCTTTCTCCTTACCTGTGTCTTTCCCCCGGTGCTCTCTTGGACAGCAGTGCGCGACAGGGCGGTGGTGGCGACAAAACAAGAGAAGAATCCTGAAAAGATGTTGCTGATCCCAAAGGCAATAAATTCCTAAGGGAAAGACTGGATGAGAAAGATGCCACAAATAGTTTTTGCAAGACTCACCCCCCCCCCCCACCAAGAACATTACGAAAGCAGACTTGCAACCGTGCTGCCCACTACAGCCAGTTTCATTTTTACCCATTAAAGGTGTTTGTGGACCTTGAATGAGACATCAGGACTTGGGGTTCCACAGAGCTTGGGGAGCCTGTCTGCTCTCACTCATTTTTAAGAACAGTAGCCAGTCTTCTGCAAAATGTCTAGTTCCTTTTCTGATGAGTGGCGTGTCCGTAGCTCTCACAGAAAGCATTTTTTTTTGGGGGTGTTTGAATATTGTTACAAAGCATATTATGACTAGGAGAGCTATTCTCCTGCCCGATGACTAAGAGTTAGGCGCTGTAATTGCTATGCTGTTTTCAGAAACCTATCATACTTCCAGACTTGCTAGCAGAATAGCATCGCTCGTTTGGTTGTGTAGCCCATGACTACAACCACTGCACAGGGAAGCACCTCTATTTAAAGTGGTCACAGTCAGTGGTGTTCATTGCACTATTTTTCCATTTTATAACCACCAAATCAGTTGAAAACAAGTTACCAGAAAATACCATGTTACATAAAGAATTCTTATTCTGACACAATATGTTAACTCTTTAGAATTCAAAAGAGCAAGCTAACTTTTAAAATTAGGATTACTTCCACTTGTTTCTTAAAAAGTACCATGATGCAGCATGTACTTTTTTTTTTTTCAGAATAATTTCAATTCAGCATGCAAATGAGAGAGAATAACTCTAGTTTAGCAGACATAAGAACTTTCCCACTGAAGTTTCCCCCCCACCCCTATTTTCACCCTACAAAAGCCATGCAGCTCAAGGTGCCGGTACCTGGTTCCCATCGATGGTGTAATCATACTTGGTGGCATAGACTTTTCCTACAGATACTGCGATAGCATAAGCCACAACGGCAATGGAAAAGGATGCAGCCAACATCTTAGAAAATAAGGACACAGATGGAATTGCAGGCGGCAAAAACCTAGTGCATTTTAAAATAAAAAATGGTTGTGAAGATTTGACCATAATTCTTTTCCCACTTCATAAAATGTTTATCAAGCCAGTCACACAACTGACATGCCAGTACTCGATCAAGAGGGCCCCCTGAGCACATGGGGGTGTAGTGGGGACATCCAGTTTTGGTTGTTAATCAGGAATCAGTGCCACTCGCTGATTTCTTTGTGTCCTCTCTGAGAACCCCCAGATAATGCCTTATCTACAACTCTGACACAAGTAAACCTGTTCTTTCTGGTTCCTATAATCATATAACTCCATGCCATTTCACACACTAGTGTTTTTCCTTATACAACATCACCTAATTTAGAAGACAGCCAAGCCAAAAAGTGAGATTTTCCCTGTGTGAAAGAGATGTCAGATCTGCTAAAAGGACAAAAACAATGTAATATGCTGAAAGAGCTAAGTGGAAAGTCCATATTTTAAGAAGTCATAGATCTTCTTGAAACTAAAAATGGATTCAATTCATGTCACCATTAGAATGTACCAGAGTCACAATGCTTACAATATGCCATAGATTGTATGGGCAAAATGATTGATGTTTGACAAAGCCAGAGATACTCTAAGTCATAGAAAGAAATACACCAACACGTGGTTGTCATTGTGCAGTTATTCCCACATATGAAAACCTGGGGGACGACCCTCATGTCCTTCATGACTACCCAAATGGTGCAACTCCTGAGATCCCTAGCTCCAAAATTAAAATATTTCCCACTACTTCACTGATGCCTGAAGTTTTAAATAGGAAACCTCATTTCCCCCTAATATCTTATGATCCTAACTAGCACTCTATTCAGATATCCTAGATAGTATTGAATCCACCTGTCTTATTTTGTTGATAAGGGAAATGAGATTTGTAGGAAGTCACTAAGTAGGTCCACTATGAATGTTAGATGATTGTCGAAGTATCAACATCTGTCCACTGATCTCCCCATGGATACTTTTTCTCCCTTCAGGTGAGGTTAATTTTCAGACTCCTTTTCTTCCACATCCCATCCTAACCAACTAGAGGCTGGGGTCGGATGCAATCTGCAAGCAGACAGGATATTAGCAACCAGACCCACTACTCCTGTTACACAGCATCACACCACCCGAGAGTCTGCAGGCGACCAGTCCAGCAATTCTTATAAACAGGGCTTCTGACTTGTTCTGAAAGTCCTTCAGACCTATTTCGGGTAATGAGTTTGTCTGGATAATTTTCTAATCTTGCAAAGAGTTTAGTTTTGAACCTGCTGTGCACTGCCTGCCTGGCTACCTAATTCACCAAATCCAGATCCTCGATTCCAAACATTACAGTGTATAAAGTACAAAGAGTGGAAAGCAAAGGCTTGGAATACTGACTCCTTTACAAAGGAACTTTATGACTTGGGACACATTATTTAAACTTACCAAGTCCTAGTTTCTTTAACTGTTAAATGGGGATTACATACGCTTCTCATAAGGTTATTGGAAGGATTGAATGAGGTGCTATGTGTGGAAGCAAATAAAACCTATATCTGCCAGGTTCTGGACATGCATTTGTATCATCTTGCTGGATATTAATGGTGCCTATATTTGCCCTAAGTTACTCAATTTGGGGTCCTGGCTAGACACCTCCTAATGACCTCTGAGTAAGCCTTTCCCCTAGTTTCTGCCCTCCTTCAGTGGATATGATTCAGCAAGATTATGCCCAGGATCCTTGTTTACCTATAACCAACCTGCCCAGTCTGGCCTCATCCTGCAGTAACACTACCAAAGGCTATGAGAGTTCAAAGATATATGCCGTTCTGAAAAGATGAAGACAGGGATGGTAAATCCCTGAAGGCCCAAGGTCACACATAGGAGAGTTCGACATGATAAAATGATGGAGGGTGAATACATCAGAACTCAAGTTTTTATTATTAAATTATTAAATTCCTCCTGCTGTTAGAATTCACCATCAAATTTTGGTTCTTTAATGAAGAATTTCCCAAATTTATCTGGCCATAAAAATTATTTGAAGCATCTTTGAAAAATACTAATTGCTAGGCCTCTATTCTAGAAAGCCTGACTCAGTAGGCTTCGGCCATAAACCAGGAAATCTGTAGTAACAAGGTCCTCCTATGATGCTTACAAAAAGGGAGGTTGCAGAAATACTATAATGAAGAAAATGCAAATGAAGCCCCAGGTAACCATTTGTCATTTTTCAAATATTTCTTAAACTGATATTAGAAGAAGTCATAAGACAAGTCAAATGGAAAGACTGAAGTTCTTGTGGCACAAGCACTGGGACTTAGCTAGACAGAGGACTTTCTATTAAGAAAATAGGGAACCAAAGACTGGTACAATTTCATCAGCTAGTATTAAGGAAACAGAAGCTAGTGCTGACTGCTTGTGTAGCAGCAAATCTAATCCAAAAGGTTACATATCTAATAACCATCTGAGTTATTTTTTCTCCCTACATAATAAAATTATAGCACCGGACACTTGGCACATTCCCTCTGCTTCACGAGCGATCTGGCTGATGCTTCACTAGCACAAGGGTAAAGTTGTCATTATCCTTGTTTTGTTGGAGAAGCCTCTCTTCCCATGGCCACAGAAATGGAGGGTGAAAGAGATGGACAAAGGGTTTCACTTCTTCACCCTCCTAGTTCCCCAAGCTACCAAAAACATAAAAATTCCCTTGAAGAGAACACATTTTATTCAAGGAACAACTTATATAATTATTATCTAAGATTGATTAAACTAAATGGTGGAAAATTTAGGCCAGATGTCCCTGATTCCTTTAGCAGATTGTTCTCAGTGCAATAAATGTGAGTAACCATGATTCTATTTATACGACATTATAATTATACATATAAGTATAAAACAGGAGTCTGGTGTTAACTGCACATCTCCTGCCACATTTAAGAAAATGAAGAAAAAAGAGATTGCTTCTAAACCAAGGGCTTGAACTTTATCTTTAAGAAGGCACACAACTAAGTCTATTGAAGGGACACCCATGAAATAAAACTTATAATAAAATGTTTCACTTAAAAAGAAAGTACTAACTTAATTTATTAGCATTACCTAAGAGAATGCCATACTCACCCCCTTGGGATGGATTTAACAATGCCAGCATTGTATTTTTTCTCCAGGTTGACTCCATATGAAATGGCAGTAGCAATTATTGTCTGAAATAAAACAAAAGAGGTAGGGAAAAAACCAAAGCTCCATTTGTTTTAACAACTGTTACTGTCGTCAAGTGAATGTTGGCTATTTTACTTACCACAATTACTTCTATAGGAATAGGAATTGGGATTTTGTGTTTAAATCGATCATTTACTTCCTTAACTGCCATACAGATGATAATGGTGAGTATTCCAGCAGTGAAATCAGCAAGATTGGTGTTACTAATATTTTCAAAAATCTCAATAAGAGTCTGGAAAAAGGAAATCAATTTATATACTTCCCATATGAAAAATAATCATCAAATAGCACTTAGGAATGTCAAGTAAAACCAGAAGAACGTGTTGACTAATACAGAAACCATTTAATACATGCAGTCTCTTGCAGTAGTCAGTACTGATGTGCGTGTGTGTACACTAAGTTACTAATGAAAGTTAGCATGGGGTGTAAAACTTTGGATGATTTCTATTAGGAACACTCATCCTTAAATAGAAAAGATACAGGTGATAATAATAAATGCCTAAAATACTTCATCTATATATAATATACTTGGACTTATCCTTTCCTTATGGCAAAGAAAAGTGATTGAATTGATACATAAAATCAAGTGTCCATTTTTGGAAATTGATACTAAGTTTAAAGTTAAACTAAGAAGGTATTAAAAGCAGACAGGCAGGGCCTTCCCTGGTGGCTCAGCCGGTTAAAGCACAGCACTAAGAAGCTAAAGTCACTTCAACATGAGTTCTCCCTGCCCCAGAGGTGATCCACATGGCACAGACTTCTCTTGACTGGCCCACTGCTCCCCTCAGCAGTGTTATTTCATCAGTTGGCTTGTTCTGTTCCCCACTCTGTCTCTGTCTCTGGTGAATCCTCTCACTGCCCCTGCACCTCTGGCCTGTACCCCAGTTCTGTATGCATAAATAAATAAATCTTAAAAAAAAAAGAAAATATTTTAAAAAATGTAGACAGGCAAACCAACTTAAGAAAAGCTAGTTGTGGCTTGTAAATAGGAGATTTCTAAGAATCAAAGAGATTAGCATGGGAAAATCCCAGGGAATAATGCTAATATCTTTGTTCTATCAACTTCCAGTTCAATAGAGAGCATTACTTGAAAAGGTATTCCTCAATACTTTGACACAAAATATCAACCAGTAAATATTACTTTTAAAAAATTTGTCCTTTGGGGCCCTCCCTGGTGGCAAAATGGGTTAAAGCATAGCACTATGAAGCTATCCAAAGCCACTGTGGCATGAGTTCAATCCCTGGCCAGGAGGGAGGTGACCCACATGGCGTGGCAGACCTCTCCTGATCCGTCTGTTCTGCTCCCCACTGTCTCTGGTGAATCCTCTCACCTCCACACTTTTGGACTGTACCCTAGTTCTTGTAAGTATAAATAAATAAATCTTAAAAAAAATTCCCATTCATAGATATATTTTTATATGGAGAGAGAGAGAAGTGCAACATTTTATAATTTACAATGTGTACATAAATCAATTATCCTTAAAGTAAGTATAACGACAATCCAGTAACAATACACATATTCTAGGAGTCATTTAGCAAACAGCCTCAGCTCTTTGGGCAACATTCAAAAGTAAGGAAACAAGAGTAGAAGTTATTTTACAAGGAAAAATGCAGTCCATGAATGCAGACTTAGAGTTCAAGCATTTGACTTGCAGGAAGACTTTTGAACCTTTCCTCAGAGAGTATTTTTGCTCTTGCTTTAAACCCAGAACTTATGAGGTTACTTGTCTATTTTCATAGTCAGTGAAATTTGCTAGAGTCACACATACTTTGATGCAAGTGACAGCAGAGTGAAAAGTGAAAGTGGCGAAACTACCAAACTCAGACATTATAACTCAAAAACTTAGACAATTTGTCACAACAACCCTATATATATACCTGAGTCTTGAAGGGACTTCAGTCTGACCCTTTCCATCATAAACATCACTCTGATGACCCTTATTAATTCATGACTTAAAAACAAACATTGGGGCCTTCCCTGGTGGCGCAGCGGGTTAAAGCACTGCACTGAGAAGCTAAAGCCACTTCCGCATGAGTTCGATTCCCGCCTGCCGCCTGCCCCGGAGGAGACCACATGGCGTGGCAGACCTCTCCTGACCGCCCGCTGCTCCCCTCAGCAGTGTACTTCGTTGATCTGCCTGTTCTGCTCCCCACTCTGTCTCACTGCCCCTGAGTCTCTGGCCTGTACCCCAGTTCTGTATGTACAAATAAATAAATCTTAAAAAAAAAAAAACATTGGAATAATTATCACAATTAAAAATATTTTTACCTTATAAAAGTGATCACTACAGGGTTCACAATTAACCTCTGGGAGTCACTTAGACCTTTGAATAAAAATCACCTCTGGTGTAATAAAAATGTGATAATTTTTAGTTTACAAAAACTAAAATCAATTTGTTACACAGCTGCATCCACAGCACGGTGAATGTGCACTATTGTCTATTTACTGAGTGATCCTTCAGGAACACTTATGATAATTACTACAATAGAACGTTGAATCTATCCGAACAGAAAACTCATCCATATAAACTGAAGTGGTCAGACTGTACTCAGAGTTCTAGAAATGAGATTCCAAGAAGACATTGAAAAGTGATTCTAATTTAAAATATTTACTAAAATATGTATGCACATATGACTCTATATCTCAGCCTAGTGTTTTGAATAGTTCAAATCATGATAATGAGCTTTTATTCAGTCAGGGAAACCATTTTACTTTATCTCCACCATGCTTAGAGATGTTAGGACCATTTTGCTAAGATCATTTTTTCCTTCTTGCCCAGCATTGATATACAAAGTAAAAGGAAAAAGAATATATGCCTGATATTATGTGTGAGGAAAGTTATTGGTTTCCCCTCCCCCCAATATTTCCTCATCCTATTCTTTGTTATCCTTTATTTCCTTTTGGGAGGGAGGGTGAGAGGGATGGAGGGTGAGAGGGATGGAGGAAGACAAAGCACAACCTTATAACAAAAGGGATGTTAATTACATTCCAAGGAAAGTATCTTAGAAAAATCTGACAGTCTTTCCTGAAGGTATCCACTACCTCTCTGCATCTGTGGAAGGATTCTTTCACGAATGATTGCAACAGATAATGTCACAAGCAAAATTTCTTGTTCAGGTACTGAGAGGCTCATTCAACCCTTCCCCAGCCATATCCAGACTTGCTGATTCCTTCTTTTCAGTACAGCAAGATTATATTCACCATCACATAGGGATGACTGAAATACCTGCATTCAACCTGGCTGGCCTAGGTGGAATTTCTTGCAAAATATAGATGTTTTTAACCTCAGGCTTCGAGAATAATTCTCAGTGGGATACCAGTCCCACAATGATTGTTTTTTGGTTTCAAAAGTATTTTTGAACTTGTCTAGTTTTTCCCACTCTCTTTTGTCTCTGGTAATGATGGGATCGTATGTACCAAGCTTATCTTAAACATAGTGCTAAGAAACCATAACTATTTTAGACTGCCTATCTGCTAAGATCCTGCAGCAACAACCTGGAACCTCCTGTAATCACCTTCATTGATACAGGGTACAGGCTGAGCCATGTGCACACAGGCAGTGAACACACTCATCAAGGGCTGTTGTTGGTGAAATTTTAAGGAAGTGGCCAGTGTTGGCACATGGTCCAAAATCAATACTCAGTGAACCAATGAATTGAATGAACAACAATGAAAGAATAAAAGAATGAACTACTGAAAGGGAAGTATGAAAGCTATATAAAGCAAGGTATAGGGCCCTCCCTGGTGGCACAGCGGGTTAAAGCACTGCACTAAGAAGCTTAAGCCACTTCCGCATGAGTTTGATCCCCAACTGCCCCAGAGGAGATCCACATGGCAAGGCAGACCTCTCTTGACCCGCCCACTGCTCCCCTTAGCAGTGTACTTCGTCCATCTGCCTATTCTGCTCCCCACTCTGTCCCTGGTAAATCCTCTCACCCTATACCCCATCTCTGGCTTATACCCCAGTTCTGTATGAATAAATAAATCTTAAAAAAAAAAAAGCAAGGTATATCGGAGGGTGCAAAAGTGAGAGTCTAGAGTCTATCAGAAAAAGGTAGTCCAAAAGTGTCAGAGTGAACAAGGGAAAAAAGCAGCAATGACAAAAACAGTGATGAATCAAAAAAAAGCCTGGGTGAAAGTCTTTTATAGGCTGCATCCCTGGAACACGAACAGTAAGTTCCATGAGTTCTGTTTATCATGGTAAGGAAGTCCATAAATGCAGTTTTTACTCTATGTTAGATATGTGCTAACTGCTTTATACCAGTTTTCTTTTTTAATCCTTAAAATTCTAGAGGCAGCTGCTATTGTTACTTCCCATTTTACAACTGAGAACACCGAGGCTTAGGGAAGTTATATAGTAGCCCCAAATCACGTAGGTGGTAAGGAGTGAAAATAAGACTCCTACTCAAGTCTATTGAAGTTCAAAGTCCATGCTCTTAGTCACAATGCTATACTGCCTATTCCATGTATTTCCCTACTAAAGCAAAATACCTAGCTTCTAATTAGGCACTCAGTAATATGTGTTGAATAGATGGAGTAATGTGGGATTATTGCACAGTTGTGAAGTTGACCAAATGTATGATCACCTCACTAATTGCATGACCTTACACTGTTTTAGGTTTAAAGGACTCTAATGCCATTGTTAATGTTGGCACATTAATTTTGCATAGTATTATTTCCCCCAAACTAGGGTGACATCATGTTACTATTATCACCATTTTTAAGCATCAATAACATGCTTTATATAGAACATTTGCTTAGATCCAAGAACTTTTTCAAATCTAATTAGTGTGATCTACATCCTTCTTTTGCATCTCTTTTGCATGTTGAATCATCTCTGAATCTAATGTTCCTTTTCATCTATAATTGCTCAGACATTTACATTATGCAATTGATGGACTCAGAGTTAGAAGGAAGCTACATTTCCAATCATTTCATTTTGCAAATAGAAAAGAAGTCTTGAGATGTGAAATAATAATTTAAAAATAACTACTTTTTTAAGGACTTGTCATATGTGAGACTGTGGTCCAAGTTCTTCTCATCTATCCTCATTTAACTTATTTAGTAAATGCTATTATCAAATCCATTTCGCAGAAGGAAAGCAAGGCATGGTGATTCGCTCAAATTGGCCAATAAAGAGTAGAATCGGGACCAAAATCCATGTCATCTATGTCCATCTTGAGTTTTTAACCACTATTTTATATAATGTGCCTAAGTTCATTTAGTTGCCAGAGGCCAAGTTGGGTCTAGAACTCAAATCTGTTGTAGCCAAGACCAGATTTCACTGGACTTTGTTTTTACTAATATTTTTAAATAGAGTGACCCTTCTGAATCCACTGGACCAATTGAGAGCAATGATTTGCAAAATCTGCCTTATTGGATGTTAGTCCCGATGTATTTGCTTCTCTGTGTGTTTTCAGTGGTTCCCAAAATATACAACCATCAGGAAATATAAACTCTCCAGACTCAGGTTAAGGAGGAAAGAATTCATTTTTCTCAGTAAGCATTCCTGGAGGAAGAAGCAACACTTACATAGATAATGGAGAGAACTCCATTATAGTTTTGGGTTGAAACGTTGAGGACAATCTTTAGCTGTGAGACAAACACTTGGAAAGCAGCAGCTGTTGTGAATCCGCCAACCAAAGGATCTGCCAAGTACCGCACTATGAAGCCAATCTGCAAACCCCCAAAGATCAACTAGAACAAGAAGAAAGAAGGGAAAATGAAATGTCTCCCTGGGAAAAGAACCAACTCTCTTGAAATATTAATCGTTAAATTTAACGGCAATTAAAACTCTGGTGGCCTGCCTATAACACAGCATACTTGTAAGAGACACATGTGATTTTTGTAATGCCCCTTTTCTCTCCTCTACCACTCTGAAATTAAAAAACCTTATTTAATGGTTTTCTATTATTTCATTATTTCAAGATATTTCACAATACCTGGAAGTATCCTAGATTATGTGCTAGAAGAGCAAAAATCATGTGGACTCTTTCTATGACATTCTGATCCCATGGTTCAGCTCACCAGTATATATTTTTCTGCTTTATAGCCACTTCCCTCATCCTCATTTAAATCACACATATTCTTCCTTTTTTTTTTTTTTCCTGTCTCTGACTGATGACAAATGAGTCTAAATAAGTAGGGTCATGCTGACTATTTTAGTATTGGGTCTAAAATGATAAAATTTAGAAAATAACTTTTGGGCAACTGCTTTGTTTCCCTTTTAAATTAATTATTAAGAAAATAGGATTTTTATTTAGTTATTTCAAGTAAAAGTCACACCAATCCATATTTTATTGATAAGTCCGTTACCTGTATGACTCCAACCAAAAGAGTAAGTGTGCTTGCAATTAAAACTCGTGCTGTATCTCTTGCCGCAAAGTCTATGACGGTCGTATTCAATGCCGTCCCATTGCTGCTGGATATAACAAAGTCTTCATCGGGTGCCAAACTCAGAACAACGGATCCCACCATTAAACTGACCACTGGGAAAGGTCCTGGGGGGAAAGTTTCTATCAATTAATAGTTATTCACCACAAATGTTTAGGTTTGTGTCTATATAGAATTAGAAAGATGTGTGAAGTAAGTAGGCGTGATTTGATTTCTTCACCAAAGATACTAAAACATGAATGTTTCTGTGACCCTTAAAGGAACAAGAGAACCATGTAGACAGACAATTATAATAGAGCACTCAGGATGCTTTGTATGTACACAGGAAGGTGACCTACGTTCGTGTGAGCTTCACACATATAGGTTTCAGGAGGGGTGGCAGAGGGTTCGTCAGGGAAGGTTTCCTGGTGGAGGTGGCATGCAATCTGTCTTTACTTGATCCATCTTTTTTTTTTTTTTTTTTTTTCACTTACACTCATCTCCTGATACATCCAAAATCTTGATGGTCTATGTAAGTGAATACTTTGCCCAATATCACAGTGTATAAATAAAGAAACTGCGAAGAACATGTGTAGTTTTTTTCTTTTTCTTGTAGATTTAATAGTCCTTTCCTTCTAGCAACTGCTCTGCTCACATATAATTTTTTTTTTTTATTCATCATGATGATGATTCTGTTCTTTGGTCATGAAAGACCTATCTTTGGTCTCCTTCTAATGACACAGCAATATGCTAGATACTAAGGGAGATACAACTAAGGACAAGGATGTGGGTTGGGGACACAGTACATGGCTGTATTTGTTTCAAGAGGATTGTCCAGGTAAACACGTCTAGCCAGCAGATGGATGTAGGAGCAAAATTATCTCTAGTATAAATGTCAAAGTCACAAAATAGCATTAAAACATTCACTTGCTAGAACATTCTAGCAAAAGAGAATTCAGATTTTAAGAAAGACAGGAAATAAACCTATTTTGAGCCATACCAAGAAACAAAGCCAAGCTTAATGTCTAAATTGTTTTGGCAGGATTTTGCCAGCCTTCCAATATTAGTGACTTAAAATTTGTATGTTCTTTAATGAAATAATGAATATGTATTTGATGAACATAATTCAGTAAATGCTGTTAGTCTAGAAAGACAGTACCTTCAAAGACCTCTTGATTTTTTTCCAATGTCCCTTTTCATTTTGGAAGAGAACACTTCTCTAAATATGGAGTCAAATTACATCTTAAAAAATCAAAACATGCTATAAGTTGAAGATAGGCCATAATTTAAAAATCTTCCCATTTTCTCTGCTTCTTAAAAAAAGTTAAGGATAAAGCTAACTAATGGCATAGTATTTTAAAAGCCATTGCATCATCGAATAGAAGCAGCAGGCAAAGCACTGAGGCCTAATTTCCCTGGAAAACAGTAACCAAGATATAAACGCATAATACACATAATAAACCACACATATTAAACATGAATAAATACAATGGTAGTCTATGCTTATAATTACCAACGGAGATGTGTCTTGATGTTCCAAAGAAAAAATATGTCAGGATAGGGAAAAAGGCAGAATATAGACCAAAGCCGACGGGAACCGCTGCTAGCAGAGCGTACGCCATGCCTGAAAAACACATCCCAGAAGGATCAGACTCACAAACAAGTCACGGTATCTTTCCAGTGTACAAACAAAAACCTTTTAGTACATAGTTTCCGTCTGCAGCTTGTCCTGGGTGGCTCTGGTAGGATGCAGAACATGATCCCAATTGGGCAGGCTAGTGATTGCATCTACACGCATCACCTGCTCAAATGAATTGACTCAGTTGATCCGTAATTCAATCATCTGCTGATCAGACAAGTGGAAAAATGTCAAGGCAGTGGCTGATTAAAAATGTCATAAGTTCTCAAAGAGGAGGCATGAGCTAGAACAAAGCTCGGGGGTGGGGCGGGGGGCAGCGCATGGTGGAAGGACTGTGGGTGCTTTGATGGTGGGTGCGCTATGGCATCAGTGCCTCAAGCTGTGGGGTGGGGGGTTGAAAGAGCCTACACTTTTTTTATTTATTTATTTATTTTATTTATTTTTTTTTTTAAAGATTTATTTATTTGTGCATACAGAACAGGGTTACAGGCCAGAGGCTCAGGGGCGGTGAGAGGCTTCACCAGAGACAGAGTGGGGAACAGAACAGGTAGATCGATGAAGTACACTGCTGAGGGGAGCAGAGGGCGGGTCAGGAGAGGTCTGCCACGCCATGTGGTCTCCTCCGGGGCAGGCGGGAATCGAACTCATGTGGAAGCGGCTTTAGATTCTCAGTGCTGTGCTTTAACCCGCTGCGCCACCAGGGAGGGCCGAAAGAGCCTACACTTTTAATACAGACTTTTAATACGTAAACCAAAGTTACCTCAGTAAAAGTTAAAGAAAAAAATTTCGTCAGTTCAGTCGAGAGGCTCACACCCGTTTTGCTCAACGACAGTTTGTCTGGATGGTTTCTATACGGTCTAAGAGACATCGCCATTCCTGAATCGCCCTTTCTCCTTTCTTGTTGGGCAAGAGAAATTAGATTCAAACAAAAAAGTACATATGACGATTGTACATCACAGTGGGCAATGCAGCTCTGCCCTTGAGAAGGAGCGCGTCTGCAGGCGGCCAGCCCCTTGCACCCCCCAGCTCCCCTCGCAGGTCTGTGAACCTCAGGGCACCTGTTGGGCAAATTAACCTCAGCCTCCTGGCACGCGGGGCTGGCAGGTGCAGCGATGCTTTCTGCTCCTAAATGGACTATTTCTTAGGCAGTGAGCACTTCTTACTCCATGTTAAACCCCACATTTCACTCATCCACAATGAGAGAGAATACAGCCCTCTGACCCTTGAGTCATCAATAAAGAATGACATTTATAAAAGTATTTAAAAAAAAAATACTGGCAGCGACCCAGTTATACTGGCCACAGTTGCCCCAAGTTATTTACAGAATGTCTCAAAATTAAGAAAAGGTTAACTAGATTTTACTTTATACCTTGTGATTCTGTAAAATAAATTGATGTCATGTATAGAAATATATTTACTAATATGGAGAAATCTGAAGAAAAGGAAAACAGTGAAAAAATTCAAAACCATGGTCAGTATACCCATTCCTACTTTCGTAAAAATAAACATGTATGCACAGAAATTGGTAAAGAGGTTTGTCAGGTAAAGGCCCATCTACCCATGTTGCACAGCCACAGCAGACTGGGGAGGTTCACCGTTCTCACAGTTTAGTGAGAACCTGGCAGCCCTTGGCGCCATCATTGCAGGTTTCAATGACGAGCAAAGGAAACAAGCCAGCATGCAGACTGGAGCTGGTGGCCCCTCCCCAGGGTGATGCCGCATTTTATACTTCCCGCCTGGCCTTGGCGCACACTGCACATGCGCACACACCCGCACATGCGCACACACTCGCACATGCGCACACACCCGCACATGCGCACACACCCGCACATGCGCACACACCTTCACATGCGCACACGCCATTCTCCAGGGGTCCACAGTCAGGCCTGCTTGCCCCGTGTCCACGAACCTTCTGCGTGGACACAATCAAGCCCACAGGTGACACCACAGAGGCCAGTGGCGTAAAAAGCCTGATTAAGTAACTTAACGTACAATCCACCCTCCAGCTAAAAGAAAGAGTGCCAGCACAGCTGAAACTCTCGGTATATTATTCCTAAGTCACATCCTTTCTTCCCTCCATTCTCAGAAGGCAATTACTATCGGGAATCTTATAGTTGATCATTCACAGACTTTTTTTATATTTCTATATAGATATGCATTTACCTATCTAGCAGGGTATTTACTAAGAAATTAAAGTCTTTTAGATATAATGCCTTTAGATTAATGCATTTTAGGTATAAAAGGCAAGATCAAAGATGATGTCTAGTTTGTATAGAAGCATTTTTTTCATGTTCCTTATATGTATTTTTAAGTTTTCTGCAACGAGTATGCATTTATTCATTCATTCGGCAAGTACTGATTATGTTCCAGACATTATTCTAGGTCTGGAAGAATACAGGAGTGAACAAAACAAAGTCTCTGCCCTGACAGAGTTTGCAGCTCAGAAAAAGATGTATTGCTAATAAAATTGTTTAAATATATCAAATACGAAGAACTGCTATAACCAGTGTTTCCAGAACACAGAATGGGAAGATGACTCACTAAGATAAGTTAGGAAAAATAAAGGACAATGAAAGCACACCTATTTTCTACATACTTTTCAAATTTTCACTGCCCAAACTGGGCTCTGCAATACTTAGAGTCTTGGAAAATGGGGAGCTTTTCATATAATGTCCTACTTAGGGACAATTGCTACTGAAATATATGTAATCACCTTTACTTTTAAGGAACTTAGAGCCATTTTTTAATTATACAATTTGTAAAGAAACCTAAGCCATCAGTTTAAACCATGGAATTTCTGTGTTGATACCTTTAATGTGTAGGATGGTTACATATGTTGATAAAGTTGGTGCTGATAAACATATGGAAGCATCTAGAAAGCAAAAGTGGAAAGCAAGCTCCCATAACTGTGAATAAAAAATAGCACTGAAAGAGCTGCATTGAACTTTTGCTGCTTGATGAGACTTTTTTCAAATAATAGGAGTCATAAAAATTCCATTTTCCTTAACAGAGACCAATTGCACAGTGACTTGGACCTGTCTTCTTTTTTCAGTTCCACGCCCCAGCCCCCGATTCCATAGCTGCCCAGTCTGTGGTTATGCCATCCCTAAAGTCCAAGACTACCTCTAAAATCTCAATATTGGGCTTTCCTTTCTCAACTTCAGCCCCTTACTCTTCCAGTTCACCTCCTCCAGAATCTGTATTAGAACATTCTTTATCCTTAAGAGGCTTCTAATCCACTTTCTTCTGTCTCCTGTCTTCACTTTCCTCCTTGTCGCTGGGATTGCACAAATGCTCTAAGCTCCCTTAATTCCCCTCTCTTCTTGCCTGGCAAGACCCTCTACTGGCAGAACCCAAACATCCATAATTTCCATGACAGCATCTGAGCTGGTCTCTAACATGAAAGAGGGACATCACATTGGGACTGACAAGTTTTATGTAAAATTCATGATCAGGAGCTCCCGCTGGACACTGCATGTCAATCCAACTCCAATTTCTCCTAAGTATGATTCAAACTTCCCTTGCTTTTCTCAAACTATGCACATCCCTTCTCTACACAGACCAGAACTGAAAAATGAATCTTAGTCTTCATCCAAAAATAGAGATGGCCCTGATTTGTTTGCTCACCAACGTTCTCAACCTCTCTATGTCTACACCATTTTGCCTGTCTGTCTCCTTTTGAAAATGGCAGAAATATCCCTCCTGCTTAAGGAGCAAACCCCCCCCATTTCTGCCCTTGAACCTGTGCTTCTTGGTTCCTTCTCACAATTAGTTGCTTTTCCTCCACCTCTGGACCACTGATCTTTTTCCTACTACATCATTCCCATTAGTACACAAATATATTCCAGTATCTCCCATATTAAAAGCACTCAACATTCATCCCTTATCTTCCCCCAGTTCCAGCCATTTTCTACACTTCTTTCCAGCAAACCTAAAAGTATCACATGTGTTCCATCACTGTGCGCTCTCCCTTCAAGGAGCTTGGCACAATTGGTCCCTCCATCCTTTTTTAAAAATCCCTCCTCTCCACTTCTGACCCAGCATCTTCCCAACTGGTCTTTTTCACTAACTTTCAGAGTCCACTCTCAGGTAATGCTTCACCTTGGGCTTTTTCTCTATGGCTTTCTCACCTCCCAGACCTGAGTACACCAGCTCTTCTCTGCCTGTCTGCCCTTCCTGCCTAAGAGAGCACAGATATTCCACTCCTTTACAAAACCCCCAAGCAGAAAGCTTCCCTGACTCACAGCTTGCCCAAACCTCTCTCTGACCTCTCTCTACTTTTGGCATCACTCACACACATCTCAAACCTAACATGTGCAAAGTGAAATTCTTGGCTACCATCCCAAACCTGTTCCTCTGCTAGTCTTTGTCTTTGTAATCAATGACATAACTAGTTGCTCAAGCCAAAACCTTCAGAGTCATCTGTGATTTTCATCTCCATTATGCTTATCACTATAGATTAGTAATTCTTGCTCCAAAATACAGCTCTGCACACCTGCCTACCTCCTGCTTGGTCTGGTTCAAACTGGTATACACTGTCCTCAGGATTGGGAGGAAGGGGAGGCATGTGAAGTACCCAGGGCACTGCTAACTATCCGTTCCCCACCCCTACCTTAGCTGCTCTCTGCCCACGCCCGTGTTGGAATTCCTCCCATTCCACAGAAACATGCTAAACTGTTTTTGGCCCAAGGGTTGTTGCACAGTTAGTATGGTCTCCAGTCTGCTCTTACCATGCCTGTCTTCTCATCCTTTGGCCTCTAACAAAAGTTTACTCTTCCTTGATCATTCTAAGACTGACCCTCCCTCCCCAAATAAATCCCTATTATAATATGTTTCATTCACTACAATGAATGCCACAATCTGTAATTATCTTTCTATTTATCTATTCATTTCATTCACCGCCCACCTCTTGAAATGAAGTGCATGAAACTAGTGCCCATGCCTTTCAATAAACCACTGAATCCCCACAGCTGCCACCGAATATACAGAACAGCTCTATAAATATTTATGGAATCAATGACAGGTGACGAATGAGTATATGGAAGAGCCAGGTTAGTCTTTCATCTTACAGAGATATACTAAAGATATTATATAGATAATTTTTCTGAAAACGTATTACTCATAAAGTAAGAAACTACATGAGATATAAATTAAGGTCCATGAATTGGGCTCTGGGTTCAAATCCCACTTCTACTAACTGCCAGCTCCATGATCTTGGACAAAGGGATACGTCCATCATGTAATTTGTGAGCTGTACAGTCCTAACCACCTCTCTCATCCTTGTTTTATTTTTTTTAAGATTTATTTATTTATTCATACAGAACTGGGGTAAAGGCCAGAGATGTGGAGGGCGAGAGGATTCACCAGAGACAGAGTGGGGAGCAGAACAGGCAGATCGACGAAGTACACTGCTGAGGGGAGCAGCAGGCAGGTCAGGAGAGGTCTGCTGTGCCATGTGGATCACCTCTGGGGCAGGCAGGAATCGAACTCACGCTGAAGTGGCTTTAGCTTCTTAGTGCTGTACTTTAACCACCTGCGCCACCAGGGAGGGCCCCCAATTGCATTTTCAATGTGCAAATGCACCGAGCTAAATTCTTCTGTTAGTTGAACTGATTCAGTGTGTTGGCATAGTCTTTAGGGGCTTGGGCTCAGGACTTTTTCCTCTGCTACTCATTTCCTGACTGGTTTTAATTTCTCAACAATTACTACTAGCTTCTGAAATAGTCTATTTCAAGTCATCTTTCTACATACATTTCCACCACACCTAAATCATTTCCAAACTCAGACTTAACCTCTTGAGGTGTCAGTTTTGACACCTCAACCTCCAGAAAATCATTTCTAATGCCCTAAGGCTAGGTTGAGTCCTGTTTGAACTCTTCTAGCAAGCTATACAACCCTTGCCACAACTGTTATATTGAATTATTACTATCGAGTTCCTCTGATGAACCACAAGAACCTTGAAAGCAGGAAGTGCATCTTATGTCAACATACCTAGAGCCTGGCATACCAGTACTCCATACAATTATAATAAATTTAATGATTTTTCTGTTTTCCTGGCCCAAGGGCTTTGTTGAGTTAGGGGAGGAGGAGAAACAAGATGAAAAACAGAAGAGAATGCCATATTGCTATTCACCAACTATGCAACAAATTTCCAAGATGCTTATGAAATTTGACATAGTCCGGCTGGAAAAAAAATAACCACCAGGCCCTCCCTGGTGGCTCAGTGGGACACAGCACTGCAAGCTAGCCACAGCTGCCTCAATGTGAGTTTGGTCCCTGGCCCCGGAGGTGACCCACATGGCACAGCAGACCTCTCCTGCCTTGCCCACTGGTCCCCTGTCTATCTGTCTGTCCTGCTCCCCACTCTGTCTCTGGTGAATCCCCTCACCACCCCTGGTTCTGTGGCCTGTACCCAGTTCTGTATGCCTAAATAAATAAATCTTTTTAAAAAAATAACCATCAATGTTGTAACATCTTGCCAGAAGATTAACATAAGAGAATGAATAAGGGAAGGGGCAGAAAGTATTTTTGTGGCTGCCCATAAGTCAGTTTCAAGATGCAGGTCAAGATAATGCATGTGATGGAAAGTATTTTAGTGGACTACAGTCATCATTTGAAGTGTATGAATAGAATAGAATAGCAAATGTTAGAATATGTCACTTATAGTGCAGGTAAATATTATTTCACAAAACATGAGATATATATTTACAGATTGCGCACTATTACTATGAACTGTGATCAGTTAAAGTTGAGAAGTCAATGCTTAGATGAGAGGATATAGCTGGAGACAGGCATCTAGAGAAGAGCAGGGCTTACTGGAAAGAGAATGCTAAGGAGGCGGAGGAAAGAGGTAATTCTCTTCACCTGAGGCTGTAGAGGAAAGATGAAGGCCTTGGAGTGTGAGCAAGCATTTGGTATAGACTGATCGGACCCAGGGGGCTGTTAAGAACTGTGACTGGAGTCTGACTCCCACTCATTGGGAGCCCAGTCACAGATATCTTACCTTGCAGTGTAGCCACCAGCCCAGTACTAACTCCTGAAATGATGTCACTAAGCAGCCATTCTTTAACTCGGTACTTGGGGAGCCAGTCCAAGACAGGCAGGAGAGTCTTCAGCACACCAATGGCTTTCCTTCTGGAGCAACTGTTCAAAAGCAAGGGAACTGGGTTTCCCATCCAGGCTCATTCACAACCATACACAGATTACAAATGTTGAATTAAATTCTGCTAATGTTTGTAACTATTTAGAAACAGAAAATTGCCCAGAAAATACTAACTCTAAAGTGCTTACCATGCTTTTGCCAAGAACTCTATTTTCTCTATTAAATGCACTGTACTAGAAAACACAGGATTAAGTATTCCCCTCCCTCTTCCACCTTTTTAATCCTCTGAGAAAATATCCCTACACAAGAACCCATTTTCTGGTCCAGCCACAGATTGATCAATGTGCAGACTCTAAATGGAGATTAATTTTCAGACTTCTAACCCAGGCGCCTTCTTCTACTTCTTCTCTTTTTCTTTAAAGAAAAACAAACATGTTCTGTATATTTTGGCAATACAAGCTGCTTTGAGCCAGTTTTTACAAAAAATCTTCAGATCATGAATGTATACCTTGTACTTTGCTACTTAATACTTTAATAATCTATAGATTAAAAATATGAATAGTAGGTGGACATCACTTGAATCCTCATTCAAATAAAATATCCGTTAAATGATATTTCTAAAGCCATTCGGCATTTTAATGTTGACTCAATTTTTTATATAAGGAATTAGAACTTTTTTACATGTGATTATAGTTTCAGAGTCCCTAGACATATATAATGAAAGTGATACACTGTGAAATTTGCTTTAAAAAATAAATGGAGCAGAACAAATGAATTTCGATAAATGAAACAAGATTTCCTTTGAATAGGTCTTTGCTGAAGTTCTGAAGTTGGGTGATGGATAAAGAATGGAGGCAAGTTCACTGTTACTATTGTGGTTCACTTTTGTATAGTACGAGAAATGTTCTATGGCAGAAAGTTGTTGTTTAAGAAAGGAAATCTGGCAAAACTTGAAGTTCTCTAGTCTTTTGTCTGTGGTATCCAATTCCCCTTTGACATCCCGCTGTCTAGGAAGAAAAAACTTGGAGCACACTACACTCTCCTGTGTTCTAGCTTGCTGCTTGCTCTCTGTGGCTCATCTAGATGAGTCGGGGCTTTCAAAGACTTCTGTCTAATCCGGTGATGGATTTACCCATCTTTTTTTTTTTTTTTAAGCGAGTCCCTTTCCCCTCTTTGCCATGCCTGGCATTCACTAGACGGCAGCAGAACCCCACTGGTCTCAAGACGCCCTCCAGATTTCCTCAGGAGAGGAACAAAACCACATGGAACTCTCGGAATACGCTCTCCCCGAAGATGAGACTAGAGTAACTTCGGCAAGAGAAAACTTGAGCCACTCCCCAGCTAGGAAAAACAGCGTCGCGGACCGCCGAGCCAGAGCCCTGCCAGGGGTAGAAGCCCCAGGCGACCTGTCCGGGTCCGCCAGCAGCGCGCGCCAAGGAGGCTGGTTCCACCACTCCGGGCGCGCGACTGTGCGGCCGCTACCTGCAGCCTTTGGTCAGACGATCCCTCAGAGTCTTGCGCTCCTGCAGGCGCTGTTCGTATTGCTGCTGAAAGGCCAGCTCGCTGTAGACAGGACGCGACACCACATAGTTGCAGCTGTACTCGTGCTGTGGCTCGGTCCTATCGCCCGGCGCTGCCATGACCTGCGAGGCGGACGAAAAGCGCGGAGAGGAGTGAGGAAAGAGAATAGAAGGTGCGAACGAAGAGATAGAAAGAGGAGAACGCTCCTTTGCTGCTTTCTGACCCCACCTGTTGCAGTGGATCTCGGAGAGCCTTGTCGGCGCGCTGCGGCCCTCGGCGCCCCGAACACGCCTCCTAAGGGCGCTCAACAGCCCGCACCCGGCTATCTGAGGGCCTGCAGGTGCGGTAACCTGAGCCTGTTGCCCCCGGGCCGCAGACTCCCAAGGGAGTGAGTGCCGCGTTGGGGTCTTCTGGAGCGTGACCCAGTCGCCTCTCGTAGGCAGACAGGGCGCTGTCCGCGTTCTGAAAGCTGCCCAAATCCTGGCTGGGGCGCTGGGAGAGCGCTCTGCAGGCTGCGGAGAAGCACGAGCCCCCTGCCGGGATTTGACCTCTGGCCACGCTCCCTGACCCACAGGCAAAGTTCAGCAGCGGGTTGCGCTCTCCCAGATGCAGAACTTTGGGTGCGTGGAGATTTCTTCCCTGGGCTTCCTTTCCCAGCTTCCTTTCTTGCTCTCAGTTTCTCAGAAAAGATTGCACTGCTCCCTGCCAGCGCAATCCTAGCCTGGACTCTTCATACCATCCCCACTTGGAGATGCCTCCCACGGAGTTTAGCCAGCCCGGGTGGGGTGGGCTGCATCTTCAGTGGCGCGCTCACCTGCTTTGGCTCGAGCCCTTCCCGGAATGCCCCTGGGAACGGCCGTTCCTCAACCTTTATAGGCGCTGGCAGGCGCTGTTCTTGCTTGATTATTTATAGCGCTCGCGCGCAGAAGGCTGTGAGACGCTTTATTTATGAAGCAACAGAGGCACCTTAGTCGACAGGAGGGACACACAAGCAACTACCTAACCCCACCCCAACTCCCCCCCCCCCATCCTATCCGGAAGGAAGACTTACCCCTCCCGCAATCTTTCTTTTTCCCCGAACGAGTAAGGCTGTGAATATTACTGGCTGTCTGGCCGAGGCCACCCAGATCCTCCCAATTACTAATGCGGGATCCAGGTCAGGGGCGGGACAGTCCCTGGGGAATTTGTTACAAACGAGCAGAACCTGGCGTGGAAGAAGGGGTCATTGATCGCCAGGAGATTTGACCTTGACTCCTTGGTTGTGTGAATCAGGAAACTTCCCCCTTCTGACAGAAGGCTCTCATACCTGGTGGGGAGGAAGAAAGGAGCAGTGACCAGTTTTGCGTTTAATAAGACTTTAGATTTATAAAAAGTCTCTCGTTGGAACTATATAGAGTTCATTTATTCACAAATTTCAGATGCTTAGTCTATGCATTCTCTCTCTTCCCACCTCTTTCCTCCACAAACAAGGTCCCCTTTCTTAACTATTAAGTTCTTTCTTCTTATCCAGCTGAACAATTACGAGGAACAAACTGGACTAGACAGGAATCAAAACTAGAAGGAACTGAGGGTTATCTGATCTATCCACCTCATCCCTGCTGGGATGAATCCTGCAAAAACTGACTAATACAGGTGTATATGAAGGAATGGAGAGTTTGGTAAACAGTAAGGTTCTTGCTTGATTATTAGTGTTTTGAGTAAATGCCAAAGATGCTTCAAAATATGAACTTCTGGACACCAACCTTCCATTCCATTCAGCTGGGAAATACAAACCCACAATATCATGACAATTCTATAAGCTCCAAGAAACAGCTCTTCTTAGGAGAGCCCCACTGTTAATTCCCTGAATTGTACTTGACAAATTATTAATATGCTTGTGTTTTTTGAGGAATAATTAATTGCTAACACTTGGTCTTCAAAAGTGTACCTATCCCAAACAAGATTATTGAGGAAGGGACAGAAATGCAAAATCTAGATAAGCTTTAGAATTCTTATCTACCTACAGAGAAGGTTTTTATAAACCATACATACCGAAGGTTCTTAACTAGGACTGTTTTGCTCCAGGGGGACACTTAGCAATATCTAGAGCAATTTGGGATTATCTCTTCAGGGGAAATATCACAGCAATCTAGTGGACAACCAGGTTGCTACTTAATATCCTTTGATAAAGTTTGCAGTCTCTATAAGGTTCCATATGTCATTCAACATGTAAAGTATTAACAAATGGCAGGGTACACTAAACAAATGCCTCTCTCTCTCCACATATGTTGTCTACATGCATTTTCTATTATTGTTATTGTTAGATGTGTAACAACTACATTAGAGACAAGTATTTTTTTTAAAGATTTATTTACTAATGTATACAGATCTGGGGTACAGGCCAGAGGTGCAAGGTGGTGAGAGGTTTCACCCGAGACAGACTGGGGAGTAGAACAGGCAGATTGACAAAATACACTGCTGAGGAGAGCTGCAGGCAGACCAGGAGAGGTCTGCGGCACAATATGGGTCACTTCCCGGGTGGAGGTCAAACTCATGCTGAAGGGGCTTTAGCTTCTTAGTGTTGTACTTTAACCCACTGCACCACCAGAGAGGGCCCGAGACAAGTATTTTTTAAAGTAGTTTCTGCCCTTTCTATACACCCTCACACATTAACTTCGGTTAAAAAACATTATATTTTCTGTGAGCATTGTTGTGCCCTCAGTCAATTAATCCAGTCCCCTTTCTGGATTCTGTTGGCTCTTTATCTCATCTGACCCTCTCTTAAGATGCCTTTCACTATCTAACTTGGCAGTATAATTTTATTTACATGCAAATCTTACCTCCCTTCCTAGATAAAAATTTCTTGAGGGCAAGCACTATATTTTTACCATATCATTATTAAATTCTATGTTTTCTAGTCAGATGCATCTATAACTTAAACATAATTTATTAAAGAAATTAAAATTACGTTACATATTGGCCTACGACTTCTTTTTTAAAATAAGCTAAGTTTATATAAAAAATATATTTCCAGGGCTTTCCCTGGTGGTGCAACAGGTGAAAGCACCACATTATGAAGCTCTCCAATGCCACTATAGCACAAGTTCAATCCCCTGCCAGGGAGCTGACCCACATGGTGTGGCAGACCTCTCCTGACCTGCCTGCTGCTCCCCTCAGCAATATACTTTGTTGATCTGTCTGTTCTGCTCCCCACTCTGTCTCTGGTGAATCCTCTCACCCACAACACCTCTAGCCTGTAGCCCAGTTCTGTAAGCATAAGTAAATAAATCTTTTTTTTAAAAGTCTTTAAAATATATTTGTAGGTGAATACATACAAATTTTTCTTCACTTTGCAAATGGGTATCTTGGATTTCTTACTATGAACTCACATATTTAGTTCAATAGAAACTCACCTAGATCACTTGACTTTTTTTTAAAAGATGTATTTATTTATGCATACAAAAACTGGGATATAGACCAGAGGTGCAGGAGGTAAGAAGGTTCACTAGAGACAGTGGGGAGCAGAAAAGAAATATCTACTAAAATACACTGCTGAGGGGAGCAGGGTTGGGCAGGCTAGTGATAATTGATAGTACTATGTCTTTAATCCCTGCTTCCCTGGGGAGAAACCTTACTCAACATTTCTTTACTGACACATTTCTTTTTTATTAAGCTATTCACAGTTCTTTATTGATTTGAAGGCAGTCTGTGTCAATATCATAACCCATACCCCCCTCTAATAAGGATTTCTGCTACTTGTTACTTGTTATTTAGAACACTTAGTCTGGTCCAGTCAACTCTGCAGGCCACTTTATAGCAGAACCCAGTGATGGTTTGGATGTTAGTAGTGAATCAAAGATATGAGAGGGGTAGATATGTCTGAGGCTCAGAGGATAAAATAAACCATCAGATAGGAGTAAAGGGTATGATCTTCCCTGGAGAATAGACAGAATTCTACTTTGAACTGCATCCTTCTACGTAAGAATTAATTCAATCATTACACTGTAATAAGGCTTGCATGTTTCTGGATGAAGCTACTGCTTTTTTCTATTAATGTCTTTTCAAAAGAATGAAATGGTGCACAAACAAAATGGCATCGCCTCTACAGGTTGTTTTTTTTTTTTTTAAAGGTTTATTTTTATTTATTTATATATACAAGAACTGGGTGTAGGACAGAGCTGTGGGGTAAGAGCTGGCGGATCAACTGAAATACACTGCTGAGGGGAGCAGCAGGTGATACAATAAGGGTCTGCTCCGCTGTGTGGGTCAGCTCCCCAGCCAGGGATTGAGCCAGCAATGACTGGCAACAGCTCCATAGTTATGAGATTTTTTAAAAAAATATTTATTTATTTATGTGCACAGAACTGGGGTACAAGCCAGAGGCGCAGGGGTGGTGAGAGGATTCACCAGAGACAGAGCAGGAAGCAGAACAGGCAGATCAGCAAAGTACACTGCTAAGGGGAGCAGCGGGGGGGGGGGGGGAGGTCTGCCACGCCATGTGGTAACTCCCTGGCAGGTGGGGATCGAACTCATGCTGAAGTGGCTTTAGCTTCTCAGTGCTGTGCTTTAACCTGCTGTGCCACCAGGGAGGGCCCATAGTTATGAGATTTTAACCCTGTTCCACAGGAAGGGTCCTCCTTTACAAGTTTATAAAAGTATAAAATTTTTTTTCCTCATAGGTCTGAGTTTGGCTGTCTTTTAAAAACATATAAGAGTAGGAGGTGACAGCAATCTCCCCACCCAATTTACTTGTTGTATTAAATGCCTCAAATTACTCACTTAGAAATTACAAATCAAGATACAAATCCAACTGTGCAACTTAGAAGTGGGTGATTCTCATTTACCAGTATTTAATGGTTTCTAGAACTCCTATCCAGAAATGTAGTTGCATCACTTATAAATAAATGTCAGACAATAGAATTACTTTCCAGCACTAATTTTTGCAGTTAATGTTGCAGAATTTCTCATTTTTTAATTATTCGCTCATTTATTATTTAGATACTTGGAATGTCAGACAAATTCCACTATTAAGTATGCACATCACTCATTCACTGAAGGATTTGTTTTTACTGCACCCCTAAAATTAATAGCGTGTTATAGGCAAGTATACCTCAACAAAAATACAATGATGACTTTTAAA